AGCACAGTCACTCGCGTCAGTATGGCATCTTGTCGTCTGATGTCTGTACGCAGATGACCTTTTGGAGACCTTCCTTTCACATGAAGCGATGTGAAGTGATGCTCGACCAAACAAATGTGTTGGTGACCGCCGCCCCAGAGCTGGGCATATCTCGAAGCTTGGAGCTGATTGGCTGAGCCAGGAGATAGACTTGCAGCATAAAATGGCCCCAAGAGCGGTTATCGAAGTTTCCATCGACAACCACAGAAAAGAGAAGCCCTGATCGGCGACGAGGTTACTCCATGGAGAGAAGTGCGGAGGATATGCACAGTCGTCGAATCATTGGCTGTCATTTGATACCAAACCGACAAAGCTCTCCAAAGTTACGATGGAGAACTCGTGGAGAGGTGGCGGTGCGAGCATAGCCTAGTCCTGTTCAGGAATAGCGTGCCAAGCCAGAAATGACGGACTTAAGTTGACATTGGAGAATTGATAAAGAAGGGCGGCCCATCCCGCCAAGGCCGACTGCATCAAACTTAAACTTTCAAGACACTTGCAGAATACAACAAAAAGTCAGTCACCTCAAGGAGATTGAGATGGCTCAAACGGACAAGAAACGGACGGTGGTTAAATGGAGAAATCAAGGATGCAGTGGATTCTCAAGCCATTGTTTTACTCTTAGGCCAATGGTTTTACTCTTAGGCCAATGGTTTTACTCTTAGGCCAATGGAGAGCCAACCTCTGCGCTTCCTTCCCTTCTGGTTGGCGGTCTCAAACACGAATGGCTAGCGCTTTCCGGTGTTCTTAGACACTGAAACGCGTGGAGTGCGGGGCGCCACTTATACCTCTCCAAGATGAACGACGTCATCGTGATTGCTGTGCTACTGGCAGCTGCTTCCTTACAACACAGCAATGCACCAACTGCATTCTCATGTGCGCCTATAACCCAGCTACCAAGCAACTGACGATGCTGGGCTTCGATTACCGGGGGAGATAAGATTTACAACCTCCAACAACGTCCTTACATTCCCGTCTGTCGCCTTGGCAAGACAACCACAAAGGGGAACTAAATAAGTTGGTGCTTGTCGCTGTCACTGTCACTGTCAACACCAGCGTCCACATCGACACCGCCATGGATCTGATATCGTCGTGCTTTGGAGGAGGCCGTATAAGGCTTCCGGACGAGGAGGAGCCGCTGTTGTCTCATTACGACGATGATACCGCGTTACAGAGACAGCTGCACCAGAAATTGCACACCTACCAGATGTTGCGTGCCCTTTCCAAGGGGTACATGCCATCCAACGACCAAGCCATCACCAACCTGAGAACCCTTCTCTCCTCCGACATTCTGAATCCAGACAACTCCGGCCTCAGCGACTCGGGACGGGCACTTGTCTTTTACTCCAGGAAATGGATTACCCAACTCATCCAGCTCTTGGAGCACAAGAACAGCAAAGACCAGATTCAGGACTTCCTGTGGTACCTCTCCAAGGCTCGCGTGTCCGTCGACATGGAACACATTGCTGAGCGTGCTACCAAGGCTAGAGCCAAGGCTGATACCGCTGCTGGTAAGTTCTCGTACCAGCCTTCGTCTACAGGCATAGGTACTGATGCTCATGTCTACAACAGCGTACAAGAGCATCCAGACAGTCGGGTCGTTGCTCTTGACCAACTCCGACTTCCGCCTCTTCCTCTCGGATCTCGGTGTGGTTTCTCGCGAGGTCTTCCGCGACACTGCCTTTGCCCTCTCTGCCGCATCCAAAGAGGCAGCCAAGCGCCTGGAACCTTCCAAAGAAGAGAAAGAATCCGTAGCGAAACCAGGGAATGACGAGACAGCCGACAAACCGGTCCAGCAGGACTTGGAGGATCAGGCTGCCGAGGTGGGGCAGGTGCTTGGAGACACTGCAGCCACTGTGGCCCAGGAAGCCGAAAGTAGCATCATCAACAAGTTACAAAGCGACGAGACGGATACCCTGCTATACCGCCTCAAGCAGGCCGTCACCAAGCTGCGAGACCGCAGGGATTATTCGGATTCAGTATCGACATTCTCGCTCCTCCTAAAACGATATGCCATGGTATACTCGCGCATCGCTCGCGATACACTTCAGGCTGCCGACGAAGACGTTGATCGTAATCCAGAAACGGACAAGGCTCTGGAGAACTTCTGGCTCTTTATCAAGTCCTTTGGCGACCAGAAAGATTGGGAGGAACTGGAAAAGAGGTTCAAGCTGGTCATGGATCATGGTCATAGCGACCCCGAATTTGAGAAGTTGATCGGTGAGCTAGGCAACGCTGCCCAAGAGATGTTCACCGACCCATCCTTCTTCGACCATGCCGAGGAGCGTTTCCAGGATCTCCGAGACCACTCCCGACAGCTCGCTGCTCGCTCTTCCCTGCGTGATGACATTGATGGCTTGTTGTCACAATTGCAATCCACCTTCCAGGCTGTTATGCGTGATCGTGATATCTCTGACCTGCTCAAGACGTCAGCCACCATCGCCAAGATCTTGTCGCCGAAACACCACTACACCAACACAGACCTTGTGACCGACTGCATCCACGTCTTTGTTCCATTGCTCATCCAAGGAATCAACTACATTCCTATTCCCAGGTTGGAGATCTCCACGCCAGAACTTGACCTCTTGCTTGAAAACCTCATTCTTGAGCCTGGCAAGACCATTAACCACACATCTTTCTTCCCATACAAGCTCCGTATTGAGACCCTCAACGACATTGAAATCCGCAAGGCCAGATTCCGTACAACATCAGCCATGAAAAGTCTAGTGAGAATCAAGCTCGATGGACTCTCGGTCCGCGCCGAAGAAGTCGGGTTCTGGATGAAGGCTCACACAGGACTACTGCGCTACGTGGACGAAGGAATTGCTTCCTTTGCCATGGACGAACGAGGCATGGACCTCGAAATCGACGTCGAGATCGGCCGTGACAGGATGGATAAGATCATCTCCCTCCGCAGCGTCCGATGCGAAATCCACAAACTCGACTTCACCTTGCGCCAGAGCAAGTTCAGCTGGTTTGCATGGCTCTTCAAGCCCTTCATGAAGCCCGTTATCAAGAAGACCATAGAGATGAAAGTCGCTATGGCCATCGCCGAGTCCTTGCGGTTCGCCAACCGCGAGATCCTCTTTGCTAGGGAGAGACTCCGCGCCACGCTGATTGCGAATCCGGATGATCTCAAGACGTTCTTCAAGGCTGTCTTGGCGAGGTTGACGCCTCCTGATGATCCGGATCTCAATGTCCGGGTGGGTGTTACGGATCCCGGAAGGGGCGTGTTTGATGGGGTGTATGCTCCTGGAAGTATTGTCAAGTTGTGGAATGAGGAGGCTACGCAGGCGTCGCAGAGGATTCGGGAGAATGATCAGGATGGATGGAGGAATAGCGTGTTTGACGTTCATGCTACTTTGATGGCTTGAGGGGTGGATCAAAGGAAGAAATACTGGGGTCGTTGAAGGGTAGGTATGAAGGTATGACAGTTTCCCTTTTGATGGCACATTTTGGTGTTGTGATGGAATAGCGATATGCTTTTGGCGGCAATGACAGGTCTTACGACGGATTTGCGAGACTCCCCTATCTTAATTTTTTTGCCATTATGTTGAGATCTCTCAGTCAGATGGACTTGAAGAGAAGAGAACATATCCTGTCTTCTCACACGTAATGGTGCCTTCTACAAGGCTAGGCACTTGTGATTATAGCGAAGGGGAAAACAAAAGCGCTAACGAAGACTTCAACTGCTCATTTCCCGCTCGCATCTTCAAAATGTAATCTTGAAACCCTTCAGAGAAACACAGGAGACCATCAAAAGCAAAACGATCTCGATCACTCAAAGCCGTTGAGAACAAAAGCAGGTATCTACAGTAGCCCGTTTCAGCCTCGAAGGTGGGCATCTCTCCGGCACACCCAAGAATGGGATCAGACCAATCGTAATCCACGAATTCCGTGCTATGACTTCATCCCAGACCTTTCTAAGACGACCACCATCTGCCGTCTCAGCCGTTCCTATGCCGACCATAGGCCGCCGTCCTTTTAATATTCCGATTTGATGCCAAGAATTCTTGGTTTTCTTGTCGGCCTCGTTCAAAGCGGTCAGTATCAAGTTTCCCCAGTGGAACTTGCCAAGGTGAGTGCTTGTTGAACTTGTTGGAAGCGAGTCAAGCAAGCCCTGTTCTTGTGATTGTGATACGGCAGTACGATTGGATATTTCGTTCCGGCATTTTTCTTGTCACACGTAGACTGTACACACAGCACAGACCTTTGGAGGAAAAGGGATGAGGCCTCCCGTTACTGGCTCTGGCGTATTGGTTCGACGAGTGCCGTTAGGAGGAGGAACAAGGCAGAGAACATGGAAGGAGGAGGGTCAAAAGTACCGGTGACCAACCACAAGTTGTTCACAGGCCAATGCGTACATGGACACAACCACGTGCCAGAATGGAGCATGGGACCTGAAACGTGGAATTCGTGAAAATCACTGAAAAGAAACGTGAGCCAAGGAAGTGTTCACTGTAGCATAGTCGTTTGCCAAGAAAAGGGGACCTTGGACATGACGAGAGCCTTACCTCCGTGCCATCCTTTACAGGGCCCTGAAGGGCTGAAGGAAGTGGCAAGCTTGGGTGAGTTTGGGTGAAGCATGATATCGGAAAGGATGGTGGTGATAAGGGAAGACTTGGCTGATGTTAGTATGCCGTGGTGTGCGGTGTGGTGTGGTGTGGTTTGGAGGGTGTGTTGATGCCCAGTTTGAAGGAAACGGGTTGTCATGTCAGGTTTGAGGTTTTGGGTTGAGGTGGGAGATTACGAGCAGTGATTGAGATCTGGTGGTGGTGATATATCTTTGTCATGCCCTCCCACAGCCGTGATTCAATCTGACTTTCTTCTGTCATTTCTTTCGACATCGCTGTTACGGACAAATCGACACCACCCAGACTTGTGGGAGATCAACCAGCATTTTACTTCTCAAACCGATCTCAATTAACAATACCATCAACGGCCAGCCCGGCAAAACCGCCAAAATGATTTTGGTAGACATCATCTCCATCATCCTCCGCCTCGCGGAGCTCGCCTTCGCAACCATCGTCGCCGCCCTCAACGGACGCTTCCTGCACGCCGTGCGCGGCACCTCATCATGGGATCTCGGTCGACACATCTACACCGAAGTGGTGGCGGGCCTGTCCATTCTCTTCGCCATCATCTGGCTGTTCCCCTTCTCGAGCTCGTTTATCCACTGGCCTATGGACTTGGTCATTTCGATCATGTGGTTTGTGAGCTTTGGTTTGTTGGTTAATTGGTTGAATGGGGCTTGTGGGTAAGTGTCCCCGGTTTTCACCAGCAGGAAGGGGAGGGGAGATGGACAGATGCTAACGAGTGGGCAGATATGTCTTTGACTGGGATAATGTTGGGTTTAATGGTGTGGGCTGTGGTGAGTGGAAGGCTACGGTTGCCTTTGCCTTCCTCAGCGCCATTTGCTGGCTTGTTAGTGCTTTGGTTGGGTAAGTTTATTACTTGTTTCCTTGGGAAAATTTCTCCAGATGCTAACATATCGAATAGTCTCTACTGGGTTCGTCGCCGTACCCGCGCTCCCGTTGATGCGGGCTACCCTCGTCGCCGCTGGTACCGTTCTCGCGTCTAAGTTCAGATGCTTGCCATTGAGGGTTGGATGTGGGAAACTTGCCTACGAAAAGATATGACGAATGATTTGATGACTTCTAGAGGCAAAATGCCCGCCTTGTTTTTCCTACATGGTTGTAATCTTGGACTGGAGATGTTTTGTTGAGGACTGATGGACGGAAATGATACCTGATACCCCAAGAATGGATGGATCTGGACCGCGCTGATGATGGAGTATTGTGGACCCTGTTCTTCAATCGCATCTCTCTTTACCCCTGAATAACAGATGGGATGACGGGCGTTTATGGAGACCCTCATGGTAGGAATGGGTCAATGGGATGATAATGACGGAAAACGGGCCGCAAAGTTATAATTAGCCGCCATGTTGCTTGCTTCTTTGGCCTCGCGTGGTAGCTGAAACTCTTCCAGAATCCAGTTAACTATACCGCTTTGCGTAGATATCCTGTTGATCGTGATGTTTCTTGGTCTAGATCGTATGATACTGAATCTGTCTCCAGCCTGAGCCAACGTCTGGAATGTTTGTTGAAGCTGCGTCATTGGTGTAAGGCTGAAGTGGGGCATTATGACGTAGTGGTAGTGGGGTCACGCGGCGGGACATGCATGTTGACTTTGACATTGCAACGGCGGAAAATTCAAACTGAATTCCAACAGGGAGCTCCTTCCTGTTAGCAATTGGCGCCACAGCCGAGCAGCTACAACAGGAACACGGTCGCAATCCCGTCAATAACAGTTCGTATTATTCATGGGAACGGGATGTGTGACGGCAGATCGGTGGTACGGAAGGCTGCAATCACCTGGATTTTCCCGAATGGCAATATCAAAATTGCCTTTTCCAGGCCGGCTTTTTGTTGCTTTTTTGTTCATCTGCCCTGGTGACTCTGAAGATCTTGACTGTTATAGAGCTGAACAGAAGATAGACGACACACTGCTTGGCAACGGAACATGGAAAGTTGGTAGGAGCTGACGAATGATCCTTTGAGATGCCCGTTGCCGGTCTGGTCGTCGGTGCACACACAATTACATATTCTCTAACCAATGACATGTAAGGAACAGACCATGCTTGTTTCAGTTCCTTGAAGCTCCCTTCCTTGTGAAGCTCCATCTAGATGGATTGTCACTTCCCACTTCCTCTTCGGTTTTGTCAAGGTGCAATTCTGAGTGGAGTTATTCCGATCCAGATGAGGCTTGACTTGCACAGAATTTGTGAAAACTCCACGTCACAGCCACAAAGCATGGATAATCATGGCTGGTGATCAGTTACGGGCCCTCTTTGCATGACGTCTTTGCCTCCATCTTTTCTTTCACATCTGTCAGAATCTGCTTGTTCCTGACGGGAAAGCATTGGCTAACACCAACAGCTGCTGGTTTGCCCGATATGGCGTTATGCCGCAGCCCTTGTTCGTCTGGTCTGCACCCACGCACCGATGACGACACTGGACAAGACGACCGTGAATGGCCCGAGTACGTACCACTTACACGTCCCGTTACCTGCCGGCCTCACCTTCCTCCTACGGTACCTGGTAGCCTTGGCTGCCGTCCAAGAACTGGATCGAGATGATGCCATGGCTCCCTCCTTACGCCATAGTCCCCTTTCCCATACGCCTTCCTCAGTCGAAAAGTGAAGTCGAATTTGGCATATAAAGAACATCTTCCTCTCCCGATCTCAACTTACACTTTCGATTCATCATCACAGACTCAAATCACAACAACAAACAAACAAACACTTTGATACCCCAATTACCTTTTGACACTATACCCCCAACACACACCTAACACATAAGAACATCATCCAATATGTCCGGCATCATCAACAAGATCAAGGAGGCTGTCCACAGCGACAACTCTGCTCATCACGGCGCTCCTGAAGGCACTGCCGGCCCCCACAACTCCCACGTTGCCAATGCTGCCGACCCTCGTGTAGACTCCGACATGGACGGCTCCCACCGCAAGGTTGCCGGCCACGGCGAGCACGGCAGTGGTCACGCCGCTTACGGCGGTGGCCACCCCGAGGCCTACACTCTCGGCGGTAACCCTACCGGTACCCACGCCGGCACTCACACTGGCACTCACACCAGCAACACACATGGCACTTCCGAGGGCGCCTATGGCCCCCACGGCTCTCGTGCTGCCAACGCTCTCGACCCCCGTGTTGACTCCGATCGTGATGGTTCCCACAACACCGGCTACAACACTCACAGCACCGGCAACACCTTTGGCTCTACCGGTACCCACGGTACCTACACCACTGGTAACACCTTCGGCTCTTCCAACACTCACGGTACCTCCGAGGGTGCCTACAGTCCTCACGGCTCCCGTGCCGCCAACGCTCTCGACCCCCGCGTCGACTCTGACCGTGACGGCTCCAGGACCGCTGGCAACACCACTGGCACTCACAACACCGGTACCTTTGGCACCATTGGCACCCACGACCGCCAGAACCACCCCTTCAGCTCTAACACCCACTCTAACGCTGCTGGCTCCGGCCACACCGGTGTGACCGGCACCCACGGTGCTCCCACTGGTACCCACGGTCCCCATGATAGCCGCGCTGCCAACGCTGTTGACCCCCGTGTCGACTCCGACCGTGATGGCCGTGCCAATCTCGGCCACCACTCCGGCCCTGGCCCCGCCCCCAACACTGCCGGCCCTCACAGCTCCGACATGGCCAACAAGCTCGACCCCCGCGTCGACTCTGACCTCGATGGCAGCAAGACCGTCGGCGGTAACAAGACCTACCAACAGTAAGTAAGTAATTGTGAAATACCTTGCCCGTGGCTGAACATCCTCTTTTGAGGTCGGCCTGTGGCGTCCTTGTAACACATAAGCTAACAACTTCTCCCAAGACAACCTCACACTTCCAACCTCGCCCACAAGGATCCCACAGACGCTGCTCAGGTCCCTCCCTCTGTTCTCCGCAAGAGCGTTGGCGAGCCCGTCATCGAGCACGCTGACCACGGACACCACCGCGAGAGGAGGAACAGCATCAAGACCCACCAGGAGACTTATAGCGGCATTTAATCTGTTGGTGTCTGGCTAAAAGTTAAACTCCGGTGGCGTTTATGGCTTGATGGCTTTCACGACTTTTATGACTCTTGTTACTTTCCTTTTTTTATGATTCGAGGATACCTCTTTCTGTACCACCTATACCACGTTCCCTTCTTGTTACGAACGAAAGTTCACAGTCAGTGAGATGAGCGGTAACGATATGATACCCTATCGTGGTAGTGGGAGGATGAGGAAAATAATGTCGATTACGACTACGAGCTTTTTACATAGGTCATTCACCCTCCAAATGAGAAGTTGTTGCCTTGTATATCTTTTGCGCCTATGTTTCTCAAAGTGACATTTTGAATTCTTTCTGGTACCTTGAAAGCTCTGTTGCAATGCTTGAATGGTTTATCACTATGCATGCCCTGGTGTAAGTGATATTACGTCCACATATCTAATATGGACACATTAACAGCAGGCTCTTCGACCGTTCAACAGCACAATTCCATCCCTGATTCGCCAGGTAGGCCATCCACAAAACCCCCGAATTCGAATTGGCCTCTGTGTAAATCATACGAACACATGTCTCTGGCACGCAAGATGATCGCCGGATTTCGTCTAACCTTCCACGTGGTGCCATCCTAATCGAAGTACATGCGCCCATGGTCAGATGTAGGATGATGTCTGCATATGTCCATGTGCATTCCACATCTTCTATAAGGAGAGCTTCCATGCGTTTGCAGTGTGTTCTCTGTGTGTAGGGAAAAGCTGCTGTCAAAACCGACCTGCTTCGGTACTGCATGCAACTTCTGGGTATAAGATACATGTGCATACATTTACATGGAAACCTAAACGCTACGTGACCGAGATACATACGATGACTTACAGTGCTATATATTTCAGGGTGAATGTATTCCGAACCACCAGTTCTTTCATTCCATCTGGTGGTTGTTTGCAGTCTTGGGCAGAATGGAGAAAAACGCGACCAAGAGTAATCTCAAAAGGCCTCAGAGTATGACATTTGTTTTTTTTCTTTAAAGAGCAACAATGCAAAAGGTTTCAAACGAGAAGAAGATGGGCCGAGCAAAAGGAGCAAATAGAAAAAAAAAAGAAAGACTGCAATAGAACATACAACACCTGGGATTCGCTGGTCGTCACCGACCCAACTACTAGTCAGGCGATTGGTAGCTTATCTATGGGAGAGCGGACGGGATCCCGAGTTTTCTACCATCTATGGTCGTATGTGATGGAAGTGGTTAGTTCATTTGGTTATATGGTTCCATACATAAAGAGAGATATGATGATGGTGTTGGTGTTGGTATTGGCGACACTGAGGTTAAGGATTTCGGGGTTTCGTATGAGAGAGGCCGCGAGCAGAGGCGAAATTTGAGTCTCATTTATGGAGTAAAATTCGCCTGCTACAGACTTTCGAGGGTTGTGATTGTGTATATACCTATGTGAGGTGTGAACAAAAACTTCAGACACCTTGATTGTTGCGTGCGTATCTTGGTGGTGATGTCTCGGTCTGTTGTTGATGGGATTGTATGTATCGGCGATCACAAAGTCGGTGAAAGGGAAATCTCATATATAATGTCTTAATGAAACCTGCGTTGAACACCGCCGCAATTCATCTTCCTCCTTGCTCCATCCTCCAAGTTCTTCAGCCCCGTTTCCCCCACCGAAGCTACCTAGTCTACACCCTTAGCTGCCTAAGTCTCGATCTCCCTCAGTTCAAAGCTCCCATCCGAATCCCTGTCCAATATGACTTTCGTGTTGTCCGCCAGTTTGGCTGCAGCATTCGCTCGATCAGCTTCCCATAGTCGTTCCCGTGTCGATGCAGTGAGGCCGTGGATCAGTATGGGTAGTGAACTCTCCTTCCAGGCCCAAAATCATAGCTTTTTGGTCTCCCGAATTATCCAGATGGCAAATACACAATACACAACTCGCCAAGATGGTGCCGACGGGCAAAATGAGGAAGGGAGTGCGTATGCGTATGTACGGGATTGAATAAATGGCGGTGCCGTTCGTGAACTCGGTATGCTCTTGACGAACGTTGCGGACCCACACGGATAACCTCTTGGAGATATTTTCAAAGTTTCCGTGATGTCGTTGTTTTCCGTTGCCTGTGTCCATCTCGTTTGGTTTGTGAAAGTGTCCAGGGCGGTGGACCGGTCTCCGTCTTATGATATCACAAAGCCTAGAGTGTTCGCATGATTCGACTGTCCGAATTCTTCCATAAACCATGCTCCTGCTGGCTTGACCGTGACGAAGGAGAAGAGTAGGTTGTTGGAATAGGTACACTCGTACACGGCAACCGTGTCATGTTGTGGCAATAGACTTAAAGTGTCCCATCGCTCACCCCCATATGTACTTGAGTGGTTAAAGGTCGTCATCTAATTCACTGGGTCGGATAACCTCAAGTGCTCCTCAATGTCAAATACGGTACCTGGATCCGTCTGTGCGAGGCCAGTAAAATGGTAAAACCAAAACCGTCCAGGGCAGCTGTTGTCTGACGTATGAGTGCTGAATATCAAGGGGCGCTCGCAAGTGAGTCGCGTAAAGGCTGAGAGCGAGATTGTGAAGGGTAGTTGGCGGTTTTGATTGTAAGTTTCCACCTAGAGCCTGAAAAACCACGGCAGCCAGAACTACCTCTTGGTAAGTCCCAACGCGAATGAAAAGTGGGAGCCTTATTATGTTGTCCCCAACAGAAACCCGAAGAAATGCGGAGGAGCTGCGCAGTATCGGACCGTTGCACAACGTCGCGAGGCTTGGGCACTGCTGTCTCAATCTTGGATCAAACGTCGAATTAGGACAGCTCCAGCCACATACACCGAGGTCTAGATTTCTAGCTGAGGCATACCATGTTGGGATATATATCCTGCGAGGCTATGGCTGTGCTTAGTCTGGCAATTCACCGGGGAAACTGGAAAACAAAAACGCTGGGTCCTAGTCCAAGCTTTCGCAGGCTTCATAGATGACGCTTTTCATGAGCTCGATACACTTGTCGGCATCCGAGCGACTGCGCTCTAGGCTTCGCCACCTTTACGAGTGGATGTCAACGGAGTGTCTCATTGTCGTCCTGGCGGTTGTAGAATGGAAAACAGGCAACGCGGTAATCTATATCGCCAATACAACCACCAGAAATATCGACGACAGTATCGGATTGTGTTTCTACGTCCACCACTACTTGAAGCGTATGGGATGAGGGCTTCCTACCATCCATGGTGGTGAATGCTTGTTTAACCAACTTTGGCAGTTTACATCATCATGGAACTGGCAATGGAGCGTCCTGCGACAACGGTGTAAGTGGTAGGTAGGTTCCTGATTTCGAAATGCTGACCGCAAACGGGCAGGAACCTAACAACACCCACGGAGTGAACTCCGCAAAATGAGAAAATGTTCTGGACGCTGCCCCTGGCTGGGCCTTGCTATTCAACGTCGACAAAAAGTTGCAGCTGGCTATCGCGTGTCCATCCGATGCCTCACCACATGAACATCACCCAACGGCCCATGCACGATTCAAGCTGGGACAAAACAATGAAGTGGTTGACGCAATGGCACACTTCTAATTCCTGCAATGAGCTGGTATGGTACTGGAAATCTTGTCGCGGACGCACAGGCCATTGCATGTGAGAGCTCATTGTCTATAAAATGAGTGGAAAAGATGCGAGGAAACCAATAGGAACACAAGGGAAAATAGTCGGCCTGTGGAGGAATCATCAAAAAAAGATCGAGCATCGTGATTTACGACGAGGTAGACTGTCATCCTCAGTTCGGTGGAGGGCTGGATTCGCAGTTTCTCCTGTAATCCAATATCGTAAGTGTCGAGGACCTCTGAGCGTTAACGGGGAGCGAGGTAGATAGACCCTTGTACAACGTATTCGTAGAAGGCATCATCGACTCCGTAGACATCGCTAACGAATGTCATCCCAGATCTGTCTCCATCTCACCCATCTCCCTAGTGGTAATCGAGAGGTAGCCGCAGCTAGCGGCCCTTACCCACCCTATCACTGTCGCTCAATGATGGAGACGTGATCGCACGAATGACGGACATGACTGTCCAATTTGGAATAAGCAGAGTAAATCAAGGAAGAAAGTGAGGCGTGCGAAGCCATTACCCCACAGGGATCAAGTTCGCGAGATCAAGATAAGCAAGTCGCTGAGAGCTGAGAATGTTCCTTGCCCCCCTGTTTTGGTTGATGTACTTGCTTTGTCCTTACGGGGCTGAAAAAGAAAAGAGAGGGAAAAAGGTACAGAAGAGCAGATCTTTACCCCGTAACAGAAAAACGGGGTTGAGAGGGCGGGAACCAACGACTTTGCTGTGCTCTTTGGCCTCAGTTGGCTTCAAGATTGGTTGAAACTTGTCGGTCTTTCGTTCCCTACCCCCCGTTTCCCGCTATCCACCATGGCTGGTATACGGAGTAGCGTACTGTCGCGCCCTTGTGAGACGAGACGGTTACCCGTGAGATTGACAATTGAGGTTGAGACTAGGCGGTGTTTACGAGGAACCAGTGACGGATTCGGCGCTTCCCGCAGATAAATGAGCGACGGTGTGATGAAAAAAGGTACGGTACGGGCTGTGGGGACCAAGTGCTGTTCATTAACTTCATTGCACGCTCTTCTGCCGTTGAGCCCACCAAGCCTTTCCATCTTGCGTCTGACGGCGCACCCGGATGACAGGCCTATGCATCCGCGGCTCCTCCGAACCAGACTGTCGGTGCCGGCCATACTCGTTCCAAAGTCCTCCGGCCACCGACCGTATCAGTCAACAGTAGTCGGATGCATGAGCAGAAGACTGATTGGGGAACACATAGTGAGAGGGGCCGGGTGATATCTTGTAAAGGAAAGGAAATGATAGCCAACCGCTAAACCAAGCTATACACTTCGGCGAGGTGCGGTGTGGAGAGCACGCTACGCTAGAAGATCTCTGGAGATTTCGAAGTGAGATTTGGGATCTGAGAAAAAGGGGGGGGGGGGGTACGCTCCCCGGTCGCTGCTTTTGACCGGTTCCTATACGCTTAGTCAAGCGAAGAGGGCAAAATAACAGAAGTGGACATTGTATAGAGCCATGTCCATCATGGTGCCCGGGTAAACCATATGCCGGACCTAGTTTCTCACATCTCACTAAAGAGGAACTAGTGAAACTGTGGAAAGACCTAGTCAAGGACAGGCAAAGGACGGGAAAGGAGGACTGTGGATTTCGAGGACAAAAAGTTGACCGCGAGAAGTCAGAATAGAGACACCCATCTGCGTGCGCGCAACAAATGGCAGGAGAGGCAAAAGAAAAAGATGAGTCGATCCACCCAGGGGTCGAACCTGGAACCTCCTGATTCGTAGTCAGACGCTCTGCCATTGAGCCAGCGGACCTTGTATTGTTGGAAAACGGGCTTGTATGAAGTTCTTTTCAATGCTGTGGGATATCCTTGGTCTTGGTGTGGAGGCACAATAAATTTTGTGGGTAATGCGGCCCCCGTCTGGAGCCAAAACCCCACACCGCAACACCCGGATCCGCTCCGCTGTCCGAACCACCGAAGATGCCGGGTCCCCGGGGGTCGGCCAAGTCAGGGGGGAAATACTCGGCATGATCGAGTAGCCAAAATCGATCCGACATCGCCTTCCTCGTATTCTTTATGCCTATTTCACCGGGATATATGCATATGTTTTTCAATTGAGTAAGGCGAATGAGGCTCAACATTGACCAGCGCGTTGATGTGCTTCGCATGGCCGCGAAGCGTTGTTGCCAATGCATGGAATGGCGACAAAGAAGCCAAAAAGACTGAGAAACTCCGAGACATGTCTCACTTTCCCACGGAAAGACGACGGGCCGCTCCACCATGACCGGGGTGTAGTTTCGTGTTTCCGGTCAATGACCGATCGCGGTCAACGGTATCTCTTGTAGGATGGCCGTTCCACTCATATACCAAGACTCGCTTTAGGAAGGTGTGTCTGTCAAGAGCAATTCTGTTGGCAACAAAACCAACAGTGACTTGAAAAGCCATGACGGAAATTTGATCTGCTTGATCACGAATCCCATTCTGTACCTCACGAGGCGAGGAAGTCGGGGACCATAACTGCCTGTCGTCGCCGATTTCATCTTCGCTAGGCTCATGTTTGTGAAAATGGGAGCGCCAAGTAACTTGATCCCCGATCATGCGGCGCGCGAGGACAAGTGCAGAGAGTTGTGTCCCCGGAAGAGGCTAGACAACGCGTCAGGACAACGTGATCTGCCTACCCATCAAGCTTCGGAAGGCGTCATCCAGCACTTTGCGCTTCTTCGCTCGAGCTCGGTTGGCCTCTTCGATGCTGGTGCTTTCATCTACCTCGTCAAGGGTCTCTAGCTGGGGTGTCCAGGCACGGATATACCCGTCGAGTTGTCCGCTGTAGATGCCGCCAGCGACATTGGTTCATCCCATGATGACGCCGCTGGAACTGCCACCGCCATCAGCTCCTCTCCAGACGACTATTTCCAACATTAGCACATGCCAAGCGAAAGGGGGACTGATTATTTGGTACGTACTGCTGGAGAGAAAATTTCTGATCGTTCGTTCTCCCCTCTGTGCACGGATAGCTGCCACAGCAAGGACCCATGCCGCGTAGCCTGATGATAATGGTGCCCTCATGTAGGTCCATAACCAGAATCTCGTTCTCATTCGGATAGAACAATAAGTCCTTCTTTTGTGGAGTAAGTCCTATAGGCGAGACAAACATTGTCAAGCGTCCATTGTAATCATTTCGGATGGTTGGGCCAAAACTCGCCACAGTGTTCGCCCCTGCAGCGGCATCCCAAACACGAATTTGGCGGTCGTGACCTGCAGACACAATGTACGCACCGTCATCTGTCCAGGTCAAACCGTTCACTGGCCCGTTGTGCGCCTTTGCTGAGGCACGGATGCACAGATCTCAAGAATCCTGAAATGAGGCGCGCTCAACATGGCCTGAACCGGCCATTTTACTAGGGTATATAACTCCTAGGCGGTCCTCCTGGTCCAAAAGGCCAATGAGCGCACTGGACCGTCTGACATCCCAGAGACACGGCACCATCGGCTGATTCGCTGGCCAAAATATGGTCATGAACAGGTGACCAGGCCACAGCCAGGTTGGCACCAGCAGAGCCACCTATCTGGCCGGGAGAGACAAGAGACTGGACGGCAGCCGAAGAACGCAGGTCGACGAGCCGGACGGCCAGATGCTGTGTTCCGCAAGCAACAAGCAGATGAGAGGCGATGGGTGAGGTGGCGTGTGAAGAACCTTTGCACCCAGCTCGAATGTGCCTACCAAGCGTGCCGTATCTGTAGACCACAGTTTCTTTCAAGTCTGGTCAAACGAGCAGGACAAGAAGGCGGCACTGTCGAAGGGATAGAAAGACAGGTGGGTAATCCTAAAGCGATGTCCGGCCGTAGTATAAGCCTGATTGGCGACACGCGGTATTGAAGCCACCGGGCAATATGTACATGTACATGGAGCTTGGGTTCCCACATTGCTCCAGGTCCTAGAGCTTAATGGTAGCATCGGAGCCCCCGGAGACCAGTCTGCTCAGTGGTGATTAGCAAGGAGCTAGGAGTAGACCAAGAAATGCCCAAGCGGTACCTACATTCTTCCGTCAAACCGCTCGAGAGCTAAAGGACTAAGTCCGGCTTGATGAGCCCAGAGGGACGCCGGTTGGTGAGTGGATCCCGGCATGGTGACCCGCCCGGGCCCGGTCGTAACCGCCGGTCCCGTACCCCGGCCAGCAAGCGGGATTGCCGTCCGCTCTCCGCCATCAAAGCGGAACCGGGGAGCAGAGCGAAACGAATGTAGTAATTTGGTGGTCAGCCTTCAATATTGATGGTGATGGCCGAGACGCTGTGTCACGACGGATCGGGTTTGAATCGCGTAGACCGTGACGTGCAATGGCAGTCTATGCAGGACAGAGGTTTCATGGCGGTCTTGGGTTGATCAACTCGGAGATCGGATAGAGGGCCGTTCCCAGACTGTCGGATGCCTTGGCTTTCGTCGGATTGCAACCCGTTTTGCTGCATTCCAGACGGGGTCGCATCATAACCTCGAGTGGTAGAGGGAGGGTGTAAACAGTAGCCGAATTGCGTGCAGGTGTTGCCAAAACATGCCGGCGCCCAAGCCGGGCAGGAATCGTGGACGCAAAAATATCGACAGTACTTATAGTCTTGATGTTGCTTGGGTGGACGCTGCGCTGATTGAGGATGAAAGAGGAAAGATTGAGTGAACCGACCGACGTTGTTGGATGCTTTCGGTAATGTGACGTTGTTTCCAGTCCAGAGGTTCATCTCTCCGCTGAGGGAAGCTTGCACCTGCAGTGACGGGAGTGAGCGGGGCCACTGCGGTTGAACGCGGGGTACTTTGGCGTGTTTTTGCCTGCCGGGCATTGAGCTTCCATCAGGGCAGTTCAGACTCGAATCTTTTTGTCGTATGTACCACCGCCTTTCTCCAGCCACAAGGAAGGAACGGGTTGAGTTTTGATGCTTTCTTACTTCCCTTACCAACTAACGTCATGAAAATATTTTCACACAAGATCGGGACTGATAAAGAAATCCGTGTAGCTCCTTCCTCAGTTTGAAATGGGGAGCAATGTTTTGGACAGAACACAAAATTTTCTTGTTACGCGCTGTCGTCCCCCTGGCTGAAGGAAACGAAAGTTACGAAATATCTTCCACTTCAATTTTCTCATTTTGTCGATCTCACAAGTGGAAATCACATCAATTCACCCCGTCTTTGTCATCCATTTCCAACATGACTTCGTCACCAGCTCCCAGTGACTATTCCGACGAGGAACTACGCCCATCGAGAAAAGAGAATAGAGGACGTGAATTGAACGTCTACGATGCCGTTGCCGGTATGTTCCCCGCCCCGTCTCCTTGATGCCTCATCTAACTTCCTTCCAGGTAATGTTACCTTGAACGACCGATCTCAGTCAGGTGCTTCACGCCGAAACGACTCCTCAAGTAAGCGACAAAATCGGTCCTCCGGACTACACTCTTCCCGCGACCCCAGGTACGCTCCCGAGGAAGTTCTCTTCCGCCGCAAGGGCGCGCCTGTTCGCTATGAAGAAAATGACATCTACTGGGCCAGCGAGCATCTGCCCGACGGCGGACGTCATCTCCTCCCTGACAGCGACCTCTTAAAGTCCATCCATGGGTACACCAGCAACTTCTATGATGCAATGGCTCTTCGCCTCGGTCCGCGCTGTGTTATTGGCTCCCGAACCATTGACGAGAGGAGCATGGATGAAACCGCTCTACTTGCTTTTGGAATCCTCCTTGAAGAAGCAAGTCGCGAGGCCATGGGGAAGAGAGGGGACTTGGTTCTGACTGAACCGCTCACGGATTCTAAGTTGCCACATGCTGATGAACGGGCTCTCGACACCCCTGCCGTGATCGATCAACAACCGGTTGCGGATGGTGACCAAGGAGCGACTCCGGAAAAAAGGCGGCGGAAGAAGAAAAGGAAAATCCGACGTGATGACGATGTTACAGCAGCCGAAACATGATCCGGCCATCCCTGGCACCTGAAACAAAACGTTTCCTCGTTATACACATCTCACGAGCCTCAGCGCCAGCCTGGCAACAATGGGGTGTCAGACTCGGACTTTGGACTTTGTCACACACGACGTTGCTGCCTTTATCACCTCTGGACAATCGTAACTTGACGAGCGAGGTTGCATCAACGTTTGCGCTTACAGTATCAATAGCCGGCCCATGTCTATATAACCAAAGCCTTGCTATAACGTGGTTGCTTACACTCGCATCCAATGAACGATGCAGGCAGCCAACATCACCAACAACAACGCTGAGATGCGCAAGTACGAGGACCGTCTTTCCAAATCCGCTACCTACTTGCGAGAGGCCGTCGGCGCCATTGTACCATGTGGTCGTGGTGCTCGCTTCTGTCCCCGAATCAACTCGAGAACACGTTTTCAGACCCTGCCATCTCCAGACGAGGGCCCCGCATAATGCTGATTATCGGAATAAAGGTTATTAGGCGACCTCGGCGAGGATGCGTGTTCGAACGCAACCACCACGCCTCTGCTATGATCTTGACAAGCATGGAGGCTTTGGAGCAACTGCGATGCAGAATTGGCTGGTCAAAAAACACAAAAGTCATCTCTGGGATCATGGAGCCGCCACAATGGGACGCTAAATGGTTCGAGTTGGACATCCGCGTTGCTTTTCTCTATTATGGGGGGAGCGATTTACTTGGCCCAGCTACGTACTAGCCCTGGCTCAACAAGCACAGTACACGCTGACATGCATAACCCCGATATGAATAGTACCGCCTTTCCAGTGATTATGGCCTCCCTCCGGATAAAATACGTACCTGGTGCACTGTACATTACACAGCCTAGTACTACAGATCGACTGTGTTTCGTGCGTATCAAGCAGCGTCGCGCGCCATCCGAGTTGCTTGCTGGTTTGAGGGACAGCTCTTCTCCAGTTCTGTGAGATCATTGGTTCATGGTCATATTGACAGGATCGCCAGAAGCAACGTTTTGACAGAAAATGGTAACAGAACGACCTATATTACAGCTGCGTCCCTATAAGACGCGATTAGTTCTCCGACTCAACGAAACCGAATCCCGTCACTGAAACAGCCTAATAAGGGATTCAACGTCATGCTGTCTGTTACCCAAGTTACCTCTCACGCGCAGACGAACAGATGTCAGCTTTCGGCGAATTCTACTGGAGATCGGAACATATCCGCTAGGCTAGTGAGTGCCGAATGGAACACAAATTACAGTGGATGTATGACGCGCCCTCCAACTGTAGGCCCACATATCGTTTCAGTGGTCACACTGTTATCCTGTTGACGATCATCTGTTTCTCGGGGAATTCTCGAGCATGTACAAATCCTCATTGTTGCTTGTGACTCCCAAATCTTCCATTGCCGGGGCCGGCGGACGTTCGGCTCTGTAGTGGAGTTTACCACCCGCCTGACAATGGTATTTTACGTTACATTCACCGTTAACGTCTTGAAACCTACTTGCAGTTGACTTACCTGGAGACATCCATTCCTCTGATCCAACAACCGAGATGGTCGAGACATTTTCCCACAACAGGCCAGCAGTAGGCGTTCTTGGGGCTGAACTGAAATCCCCATGTTCCAGGTCGCTTACAAGGAAGCCACGAGAGCCACAAAAGTTGACAAGGGGATACATGGAACAAAGATTCTCGATCACGACATCCGGAGCTCCCTCCATCGGCCCTACGCCGAACGTGAGTGGTCAGCAACGCTGGCACGCTGGGCTTACATGGCTAGTCTGGGAAAGTGATAGGTTAAAACAACCGAACAACTCCAATCCCCTTCTTCTGCCTGCCCACCAAGACACTACTATAGTGCATTGATATGGATGGGGTCATGGGGGAAGGGAAGGGAAAGGGGAGGAGGTGTAAGAAAATACCTCCACACTACACTATACTGCACTACTGCGTAAACGAGGCGCTGTTCACTACACTTAAAAATTGAGGCCACGGCAATTGTTGGAGTCCGTCTCGAACTCCATAGATAGGCCTGGCTCGAGCCTGGCTGGGGGCCATATATCTCAGTACAGCGGAGCGTTGTCTTACTTCGGTCCCGAGAACGGCAAAAGACGATTCGATCAAGATTGATGAATGCCGGTCAGCTCTCCACATGGCGCGTGCATGCGAGGGAGGCATGCTGGTTCGGGGTTGATGAACATTGGAGGTAAGCTTCTCCTCGTTGTCGCATATGGCACGAGGTTGGCAAGGAAAAAGGAGATCTGGGGCAAAACCGAGACGAGCAGACCAGACGGACATACGCGACAGGCGAAACGAAACGAAACGAAGCTGACATGAAACCGTGACCATGACCGTGGAGGGTTGCTTGCTTGCTTTGCTTGCTTTTGCTGCTCATCCATCTATCCAGCTCCTTGCGGATGCAGAGATCCTTTGACGGGTCTAGGTAGTGTACTAAGCTTAGACTACCTCCTAGACAAGACGACAGAGAAATCACAGGTACCTACCTAATCACCAACGTTTCATATTCCGTATGTTCACAAATCATGGTTTCCAACCGTTGAGGCGTCGAAGTCCGACCCAGGTTCTAGTAAAGCCAGCCGCTCCCTGTGCCGCTGGCTTGCTCTTTCTTTTTTCCAGGGTTTCGCCTCTAACAGCTGACTGCCCGCTGACCTGACCTCGTTAGAACCCCGAACCAGAACCGAGCCGCACGCAGTCCAGAACAGCCGCTGCTTGGTGCCCATTTTGTTACCCCGTATGCTGTAGGCACGGGGTGCTGTTCAGCAACCGAGATTAGAAGTGTCTTCTAGAAGACTTTTTGCCGTTTTTGCCGTTTTGGTGGATATTCCGAACAAGGGAGGGGTGTTTGATACTTCTGCTGAGAAAGTGAGAACTAGGTATGAAAGTTACCGTAAACTCACGAGTAATGAGTAGGTGAGCAAAGAGAAAAGGCATATCATCCTGGGATTCTTTTGGCTTCACCGTCGTTAGTTGAGTGAGGTTAAGGTAGTGGACAGCCGGAGCCGGACGTACCTCCGGTCCTGCTTGCGGTCTTGGGTCGCGGACTTCGGCATGTTGTTAAACCACGTTAGGATAAGCTCAACCCCCCAAGCCCCAAACCCCAAAATCAGCCCTGCCGTCATCGATTCGACGATTACGATTCTCATCTGCACCTTCGCGGAGCCTAGAAGTGCGACGGAGCCACAACCACCGTGACCGCGGAGTTTGCGGTTTTGCGGGGCCTTCAATGTGCACCGGGAACTGCGTTCAGCATTTAGCGGTTTTATTCCGTGCTTTTCAGTTTCAAAGAGAGGGGCAATCTCCTGAGCCGTGCAAATATAGTATTTTAGCGCGTCAAGGGTGTAGAGCCAATAGGGTGGTCTGCCTTGCTTGCAGGATACATCTGGAGCACGAAGACACCTCAAATGCCCCAGCCTTGGTAGCGTCTACTAGTGTCGTAGTAGTGTTTCCTAGCTGGCAGCCAAGCTATCAAGTACTGCTGGTATATTGCGGGGGGCCTAAATTTGCACGGCTAAAGAGATGATGAAGTCAAATGAACACCGGAGCTGACGCCATCTAAGAGGACAGCTGAGGTCCGGGGACCGGGTCCCCGGGTTTGGTGTGAGTGGAGAGGTCAGTCTAGTGTCCTGTAGTCCGGGAGGGGGAATGAGTTTTGGCTGGTGGAAGATGGATGTGGGACGGTGGTGGGGGAGTTTGAGACATTTCGACAGCTTCACTTTTTTCTTTGTTTTTTTTCTTGTTGCAAATGGTTCTGAGCGAGGGGCGTGATACACTGAAACCAGGTCTTGGGCGGCATACCGGCTCGGGGGAGGCAAGCAAACAAAAAAGTAAAGAGAAACAAGAGGTTCGAACCCATTGACGAGGTTTTATTCGGTATGCCGGGAGAATCCTTCTACCCCTTCATATTGGTAACTCGGAATGGACGAGTCACGGCCTCAGAAAGCCTTGCCATCCGGTCGCTCGGTCGGCGGCTCGGCAAGGGGAGCACGGGGGACAGGGCCGAAAAAGTTTGTTGGCCGCCCTGGGTACATATTTCTTTTGTGAGGCAGCCCGGAGGTGAAGGGTAGCAGGGTAGGACTGACTGTGTGGACTGCACGTGGTGGTCGGATTGCTTGTCGCAGGTATGTATGGGGATGTAGGGAATCACATGATATATGTGCGCATTTATCCTTTGGGCTTTGGCGTTGTATCAGTCGATTGTGGTTATGTATTTTGCCGTGGGTTTGAGATGTGTTGTTTTCTCATGTTGAAGCCTTTCTGGAGGAAAAGTAATGAAAAGATGGAATATTGAAGTATCGTACTGTGTACCCGTTGCTGAGAGCGGTGAAGTTACCGACTGTACGGTTCAACCTAGCGTTAGTCCACGTAGAAGGGCCGTCTGTGTGGACAAGAGCTGCGATCACATGAAATTTCGGTTTGCTAGCGGTTTTTGCTATGCGCAGTCGTTCCAAGATGATTGTCCTCTGTGACTTGTTAGATGACTGCAGCGGCCCGAAAAGTTTACTACTCAACTGCCTATTCAAGCCTGGCACCTGATCCTCTTTGCCCATGTAAGCTAGAGCGGTGAAGGTGAGGTCCTGTCAGTGATAGGTTAGATAGGCTCAGGCGGCCCTTGATACCTTGATGGGCTTTGCTAGTTTGCATAAGAGATAACATTCTTGGTGAGGGTAGGTTTTGAAAAGATGTTTGTATGTCATCCGTTGGGGGATAGCCGTCGTGAAGCCGGATTTTGATAGGCTGTAATAGGGCACGCCGCTCGTCGGGAAGGCCGTAGTGATGGATGCAGTGAGATCTTCCCGCCCACAGACCGAGAGCTGCCGAGCGGTACGCCATCACCTCTTGGGCTATTGTTGGTGCGCCTAAGTTGACCTCCACTGAGGTACAGGACTTCAGGTCCCGTGGCCTCGTCCACTTGCTATATCGATAAATGCATAATACCCGCTGAGCAGGTAGATCACCATCGGTGCAAATGACATGGGCCTGACTCGATACAGTACGAGTTGATGTCCTGTCTCTCTCTATTCTTGGTCGTTGATGGATTGCTGGATCTGAGCATCAAGTCACCGCCTTTCTCCAGTGGAACTGGTTGCGCCTTGCCAAGGTAGGTAATCCGGCGCGTGTAGTAGAGATATCTGTCAGTATCTGGGGAAGATATGTGAGACAGAGAGATCCCAGATCTGAGAGGGAAGAAGGGCGAAGGGTCCCAAGACTGCCAGTCTCAGTTTATGTGTGTCTGATAGGAAGTGAAGCAAGTGACACCTCCAACCCCGCATGTTTTGTTGGGAAATATGTCCTTGGATTTGAACATTTTGAGGGCTGTGCATGACGATGTTGTTGGATGTTTTTCTTTCTTTTTCGAAAAGGAACCCGCTGTTTTTCGCAAGTTCTGACACAAATACAGACCAATGAACGTAGAGAACCCCCCCCCCCCCCCCCCCCCCCCCAATATCTTTTCAGCATGGGCCGCGCATTCCTTACCTCTATTTCTTTCCAGGCACCGCCGCAGTGGGACGACTTTGAGGAGTCTGGATGAACAGCTGGAGAAGAGATATGAGACGAAAAAGTCAGTTGGAGTGGGCACGGGGAGGATACCTAATTTGGAGAATCGACGGGAAGGAGCCGGTTTATCGAAGATTTCGTAGAAAGCGCTTGCAAGGGGAAGAGGCTCTGGGCTGCCTGACCGAAAGCCTGCGACTTCCAAGATGTTGCGCTTGACTGATTGTGCCCAATCGTAATACAGTGGGTGCCATAAAAAAACGCCCCGCACTTTTTTTCACACCTTAAAAGGCCAAATCTCACCACTTTCATACACGGATAAAATGACCGCTTATAAAGATATACGCATGCCAGAAAAGCTACAAATAGCTATTTACTCGAGGATACTTATAAAGAGAGTCGCCTTTAGTTGCAATGTAACGTAGTAGAGAGATTTGGTTGTAAAGTCAAACGACGATACGGACTCGAATTTCAGTTCACTAAAGTACCCTATAAGCCCGCTATAACTTTTTTATCATCGCGACTCTGAGTTTGCATCTTCATTACACTACCACGAATAATTGAAATTAAGCCAAACCTTCCTAAATATCTTTAAATACTATTCTTATACCAAGCCTGGAAGTACATCTTTGTTTTGATACCTTAAAGTGGTTAGAATCCTCGAGTGACGAAGTTGAGTTTCGCCCTTTTTTGCGGGGAAAAAAATCACGGGGCGTTTTTTGGTGGCAGGGACTGTACATCAATGTAAATTTGGCAGGCCGACGCACAGGCGCGCCAATGCACTGTGTACATCCGCAGGAGCGACGCCGACGTTGTCACGTTCCTGCCATTTTTCTCATCCGAAGACAGCATCCAATTTCCCATGGCCTGGGTTGACGTCGACGCGGCAGGAGCTTCCATGTTGCAAAAAAATTGCAGTGCAGTGCAGCTTCGACAACTGCCCAGGGGCAGCAGTGCCCGTGCGTCAGTGCTTGGATTGGGGAGCCACGACTTCGGGAAGAAACAAGAGACATTGAACACAAAATTTTGTCTCGAGGCACTAATTCTACCAATGAGATATCGTCACTGCAGATAGATATTACGAGGTATGTATTTAGCCGCAATTCTCAACTCTCAGTATTTGCATGCTAGCACCCCGCCGTTAAAAGCAGTCACCAGTCAACCAATCACCACTACCAAAAGGCAAACCCCAAGCCATGAAGCACCAGACATCAACCACCATGTCGCCGTGCAAAAGCTAGGTAGATGGCAAGGTACCATACCCTCACGATGATCAACCCCCATGAGCCCCAGTCCTCGACCGGCCATCCCGCCTTTCACTCCCTCGTTCGGGCCTCAGGGCTCTGGGGCACAAAGACAAGGACAGACAGCCTTTTCCGCTCTCGTCTTGGGCTTGATCGCAGAAGCGAGGAAAAGAGGACCCGATCGTCGCTGGCTCTTGAACACAGTGGACAAAGCCATTTGATCTCGCCTGGAAAACTCCGAGTTCGGATTGGACAATGTGTTGTGCAGTTGGTGGTGTGTGCCTTGCATAGCAACTATCGTGCAATATCGGTTCTACGGGAGGTTCGACAGCACCCGTTCACGTGCAGCGCGTTGCTGGTTACTACAGTAATGGCAATAACATGGACATCCACTCTGGAAATTGAACACGATGCAAAGTACCCTTCGCAATACCACTCAACTCACTGCTCCCAAGTAACACTCCACGTACCACCAAAGCGGAAGAGCAAGCACGGATCTTTTACATATGGATCTTTTTATGGTGATCAGATCTCATATCATCCATCCTGTTTTTCGGGATTTCGGGCGGCTGGCCACACCCATTATCATCGAGATGTCCCTATATAGCCCGTCTCTATCCAGACCAAGGCAACACCCGCCCCCCTCAGAGGGATGCCGAAAGAGCCAAGGCTGACAGGCCCTGAATTTGTGAGCCCGTGACACTGACTGAGGTGACGATCTTAGCTCAGAGCGCCGGCTGGTGGTAGTGGTTGGTTGGCGTGCCAATGCTGAGAGCGAGACCGGCACCGTACATGTGCTGTACCGGGTACTATTCGACAGATGTTGTATCGACTTCTTCCCTTCATATAGTGCTGAGGTGCGGAAGTACAGAGCACTGCGTACGGGGTACACATGTCGTTGCGATGTTGGAGGGATGGCGGAGAGGACGACCATTTTCCCCCATCCTCCCCCCGCCCTCTCCTGCCCGGCATGTTCAACATCATGTCGTGATGCAGACGAGGGAGGAGACATGCAACCTCGCGAACCCCACCTCCAGTCACTTGAGCTCACTCTGGCACCTATCCCACACCACTACGGGGACGGATGCTACCACCATCACCACCACCCGTTGCGCCTTGCCGCTCGTTGGACAACAGCCCGCTGTCAGCCGTCAGAACGAGTCACAATTGTCATCTCGGTTGACAATGTCATTGCTGACCAAGCTAACTCAGATGCTGAGAAGAGATATCCTTTTGATGCAGTGCCTCTTGCTGCTATGCTAGCAGGTAGCCGAGAGTAGAACGATAATGATTCTACTACTCCGTAGAGGAAGTCGAGGGAGTGGTATCTCGGAATCTGATATCGCCTACGTACATGCAATGTCAGCACCCCGTTACTACGATACGGGTTGTACGCAGCATTGTGACGACCCGCGCGACCCCCCGGAAATGGTTTCTTTGTCACTTATGTCGCAACAGTACCATGAGCGCGGATTATCTCCGCTTGTTGTCCTCTCACGACTGCTTCTTTCACCAACTGGATTCGGACGCCACTTGCGAATGCTACATAGTATACTAAAACTGTTAACTCCTCCAATACTCGACGCCAATCATCTAGCGAGCCGTGAACTTGGCGGTCGGTATCCACAAACTACCGCTTGACATAGCACCCTCACGGCATCAAAAGTTACACGAAACGTACCGAATCTACAGTGATCATCCTACCTTGACTCGTCCTGGCGCTCATCCGCGGCCTTTGCACTATCACCTTCACCCAACACCTTGGAGGATTGCGCGGCATAACAGACGACGACAAGATAGGGGATAGTTCTTTGCGCGCCGCCTGGAAGCCCCATCATCAGCCCAGAGCTACGCCAGAGTTATTAGAGACTTGTCTGATACTGTGTGGTCGCAGCATCCGCAGGCCACAACACGCGTCAGTGGCCTGTCACGACAACGCCTTATAACTACACAGTACTGAGGTATAACTGCTAGGATTCACGTCCAGGGGCCAGCCCCTTGGTGTCACCGCTTATCCAGATTTCCCCGCAAAAAGGAGCAGACGGGCAGACGAATGAAAAACGACGGAGGGAACAAAAAGATATCGAGAAAGAAAAGACAAGAGAACGAGCCGGGAGAAAGAACAACCGTCATCGACAGGAGCAAAGTGAAAGCCAGGCACATGCGCAAGCACTCGACCGCGAAAACAGGCAAGACCCCGGACCAGAGCGAGCTCGAGGCCCACTCGTTTGCTTCTCTCTGATTGCCCCGTCGACCGAAAACGAAGCTACGGGGATCCACCAGAAGAGGTACTGGCTTGCGATGAGGGTGGACTAGCTCCAAATTCCATTTACTTTTCTCTTCCGCACTCGACGCTGATTGACCGTCTCTTTTTTTTTCCCAAGCTGGTCACTTGAGGTGGTTTGACGACAAGGCAAACCGACCACAGAGAAAAAAAAACAGACACCAAAAAACACACACGCCAGGTGTCACGGTCAGAAACACCAAGCACGTACAGTTACTACTTAGGTATGTACACTTTTACATTACAGGCCACACAACCCCCAAGCCAGCGAGAAAGCCCCCTTCGTTCCACCTGATCGTCCTATCCGAATGTTCCCCTGCCCGTGCCGGGCTACTACAGCACCAGTCCCCATCACACATATCCTTCAACCGAGTTCTGGATTTTCCAGACTCCCCGTGCTCCCCACCTGCCCGCAAGCGCCCTAACCTCGAACAGGCAACTTCGGCCATTGCTGCCCAACTGTTTGGTCTGTCTGGCCTGTCTGCGGCCTGTCTGGCTTGAGCCTCGTTGACGTGAAGCTAGGTGTGAGCCGAGAGGAGGCTTGACACAAAGTCGCAGGGGCCCTCGCTTTAGGTTACGTCTGTCCGGCGCCGGCTCGGATCCCTCAGCCTACGTTGCCTCCCTACCTACCTACACCCTCCAGAGTCTACGAAACCTCGACAGGCTACCGAGTCTGTTCACCCCCATACCCACATAAGACATTTTCCCGACTACCTACCTACATACCTACGCTGGACCACCACGCCCGCACGGCTCTTATGCCCCTTCCAGGCCAATAAGCTTCATCCCGTGGCCTTGCTTTCTTATGATTGCGCGCGAGCCCTGAAGCCCCGAAGCTTGCTTCTCTCTCTCTCGCCTCTTACATTGGACTCCGACTGTACGGGTCCTACTCCTGGCAAGCTCTGTCTTAGCTCGCTTGTTGCCCCGTTCCTGGGTCCGGAAAACTAGGGCTTGTTGTTCGGAAAGCTCCATGGTGTTGCCACAGCTTATGCGCTTGGGCTACTGCTTGCTCCCGCCTGTCGTCTGAACTGTCTTCCCCCTTTGGCTACTGCTGTTTGGCGTAAACGGTGTATCAGTGTAATACGGATACACATACATATTACCCAGCATGGACCCAGGCCCGCCCGACCCAAAACGACCCCGTCTGTCAACTGCCTCATCATGGTCAGCAGGTGGTGCGCACCACGGTGTGTCGCTCCTACATCCCACGCCATCTCCGACTGCTGGTCAACAGTATCCTCAACATCCCCATCATCCTAACCACCCCACGCCGCCGTCGCAATATCAACAAACCTCCCCTCATCCGTTCTCACGACCCCAAGGTCCTGGTGATCCCGGCGCCGCGCCTGCTGTCTCGCATCCCCACCCGCCGCCGCCGCCGCCGCCTCCGGCTCCGTCGCAGCAAGGCCCCGTCGACGACCGGCGACATCATGAGCCCGACCGATATCCGCCTATGCAAGACCACCGACAACACCATCCTTCATCTCAGCCACCACCAGCACACCACCAGTACAACCCTGGCTACCATCCTCCTCCGAGAGAAGTCGTGGTGAAGCAGGACCCGGCCGACGACAACAACACACCACCACACCTTCGGAGGCCCAATTCGACGGGCCATGCTCCCGACGGCATGACACCAGGGACCCCAATGTCAGCTCTGCCTCACCAAGGGTACCCTGAAGACAAACGCCATATGAGCTTGGACAATGGTCCGCAACAAAACATGTACAGGCAGCCGAGTTTCCCCCCTCAGACGCCCATGGCGCATGGTCAACCATACGACTACCCCCCTCACTATGGACACCATGGCGACCTTCCTTATATCCAGATTGCCCCAGCGGCGGGAAAGCGCAAGGCGCAAAGAGCATCGCAGGTTGGTTTGGGTTCTGGCTTCGGATATACACGCAACTTGCGTTCCAGCAAGAGTTGCGCCATGGACGTAAAAAGCTAACCTCCCCCATAGGCTTGTGATATGTGCCGGCAGCTGAAGGCTAAATGTGACGAGCTTAAACCCTGTAAGAGTTGCAAGGAAAAGAAGGTCGAATGCAAGTACCGTGAGGCGGTACCAAAGCAGTAAGCACTTATATATACCGGTTGTCGGGTGGTTGTCGCATTGCTGACCAAACGATGTAGACAAGACAAAGTGGCGGCCGATATCTTGGAGAACCTCATGGGTTTGAGGAACGAGTTCAGCATGTTCAACCATCGCATTACGAGACTAGAGAAGAGGTTGGAATGCGTCGCGCCGCCGTTGGAAGCGCATCCGGAGATGATGTCGTCGGATGATGATCGTCCGGGCTCTGCTGACTCAGCAGCCATTGAAGATGGCTACAACTTATCGTCGCCAGGAGGCTCGGAAAATGCAGCAAGGACACAGGCTCCTATAGATACACAGGAAGCGCGCAACATCACGAAGATCATGGACGAAGAGAGGGAACAGGAGCCTGGCCCATTTGTACGACCTGGAGCGCCCGCCATTCCGCTGAACCATACGACCCTGGCTGCCCTTCTTCTGAAGTGGAAGTCGATAAAGCGCCTAGCGCAACGCTATCTGCATGCCGAAAACATCAAGTTTGTCGAAGAATATCCCATCCGACAGGAAGAGAGGCGGGGACTTCTTAGGTTATGGGGCAGAGGAGAAGGTCTCGACAGCAGCCGCATGGACAGAGAGTCCAACCACAACCTGGGTATGATGGAAGTTATTGACGACTACTCGGAAACGGGAGCCCCCTCGCCCGCGGATTGTTGGGGTGGAATTAGCGGCTCGCCTGGGCCGATGGACCACAGGTCTACCATGGTTGGACTCCAGACGTTGGACTTTTCGGAGGAAACCGTCTGGAGGTACGTGCAAAGCTATCTGGACAACATTCAAAACATGCATCCGCTCATAATACCGAGAGAGCTGCATGCGATGGTGCGGTTGTTTTTGGATGGTATCCAGCAAAGTACCAAGAAGCCTAAGGGTAGTGCCGGAATCGCAAAGTTCGTTGGAGCGCCGCCGCTGAGCGTGCAGGGTGAGACAGGGGTCAAAAGGAAGCGCTCCCCGGCACCCGACGGCGCAGACTCGCCATCGATGCTACCCAGGTCGGGTAAGCCGACATTCCAGCGGTCCATCAACAACGCGCTTGTGTTGCTGGTTCTCGCGCTGGGAAAGATTTGTTCGATAAAGGATAGAAAGCTTCCGGATGTCGTGCCTGTGAGCGAGCCTTCGCATGGGTCGCCAATGGTACGTAACGGGTATCCTGCCTCTCCTATACAGGGATCTCCGCCGTCGTATGCTTCACATTCGCACTCGGCGGGTTTACCTTCGCCGAAGGATAGCGCAGACAGGTCGGGTCCTAGTAGGCGGGAGTCGTTCCAGGGAGGCGGCGCGCCTTCTATGAGGGTAGGATCGCTCAAGCGGAACATGGATGTGATTCCGGGCCTGGACTATTTCGCATACGCGACAGATATCTTGGGCGGGCAGCTGGCGGGAACGAGCTTGCGGCACATCCACGCATACATCTTGGCGGGTTTGTATCATGGGCAGTTGGGAAGAGTCATGGAAAGCTATGCCTATATCAAGGAGGCTGGCTGGGCTTTGCAGATCAAGATGAGACCGTAAGCCAACTTCTGCTCAAGTGTTTTTGACTGAGTACTAACCCGAGTATAGGAGTCTGGATCGGCTGAAAAAACTTCAAGAAAACCACCCATTTAATATCAATGCCGTTAAGGAGAAGTCGGATAATCAGATCGTCTTTGCTTTTTGGACATGTCTGCAGCTTGAGAGGTAGGCAACGGCGTGGAACATTGAAAAAGGGGATAGGCTAACACGTATACCATAGTGACATCGTGGCCGAGCTTCCTCTCCCGCAATCCCACATCCTTGCGTTTGAGGAGATCATGCCGTATCCCAACATCAACCTGGCCAAGACCCACGGCTTTGAGGAGCATGTCTTGCAAAGCTACCTTGCACAGCTTTACCTCCGGAAGTCGTTGAATCAAATCCATCAAATGCTTTATAACCCCGAGGATCCGCGATCGCTAAGGGCGCAAAACGGCACCCCGCCAGGAAATATCATTGAGGTCATCACGAAATCTCTCGATCTACGCTTCGTGCCTCCCGAGTACAAGTTCACGCACGACGATCCGCCAGCTGGAGACCTTCTTTCCGCCCGATTACGTGCCAAGTACTGGGGAGCCCAAGTCATCACCTACAGGCCGTACATCCGACAGATTCTGGAGTCAAATATGGCTCAGATGGCGACAGCCGAATCCCCGATGCCAGCCGGCACTCCCAGCGAGGCCATGACTCCTCTCGATACCCAGATGCACAGCGTGAATGGCGAGATTACTCAGGATACTATTGAATATGCGAAGAAGGGAATTCGGGCTCTTATTGAGAGCACAAGGGCGTTTCATGGTTTGCCAGACAAGCGGTTTGTTGTCACCAATATCTTTGGCACCGCACATGCGTAAGTATCTCTTCTCGTCTAATGCAATTATATATGCGGTACTGACATTGAATACGCAGTCAATGGGGCAATCTCCTCACGCTTGCAGCGGTGTTCAAGGATCCGACACTTCACCGTCATGTTGACGAGCAGACGCTTAAGGAGCTCTTCTCGAGGACTATAGCCTTTTTCCGGATCATCGCCCAACCAACGAGCGCACTGGCCGTTGACATGCGCATTCTCGAAGGCTTGGAGCGCGAGTTGTGGCACAAGCCCAACAGTGTGGACATAATGATGGATAACCACCACCATGTTAGCTCCTTTGTGAGCCCACCAATGCCAGGCCCACCACCGCCGCCGCCCCCGGGTCCAAGGCCGACAACACACTCTGCACCACCACTAGGGCCACCAGGGCCACCAGGACCATCACCACAGATGCCAAGGAGTCCGATGCCGCCAATACAGAATAACATGCATGGGCCTGGGACCCCAGATGGCATGATGCCTCCTTTACCTCCTATTCACCAACACCAACACTCACATCCCCTTTAGGAGAGATTTGTATCTCAACCACAAGACGTGTTTTAGCATTTTGGAAATTGTGAAGGATTTCTACTACACTTGGTCCGAAAGTCATAATTCCCTTTGTGTACGAACAGAAAGAGAAGGATGGAGGAGGTCTTTGCGAGCGAGCGTAACAAGCGAAGGGGGTCATCAGTCGATGTTGGTTAGCATGCGCGATAAAGAAGTGGACGTGATACTGTCCTTTTCCCTTGGATATCAAAGCGGATACGCATCAACTCATACATAGGATGCATCATGGCATACACACGGGGGCTGCATAATACCTATTTGCATCAGCATATCTTGAGAGAGAGAGAGAGAGAGAGAGAGAGAGAGAGAGAGAGAAGGAAAGAGCATATCTACCACACAGCTCTGGCGTTGTCAATTACCTACCTACCTGTCAACCTTACATACCTACTACCTATCTACCCACCTATCTATGCTCATCAGATACCCACACCAATCAAACAATCTCGCTCAGTCTTGACATCTTACTACTGTTCAACTCAAACGTCTCCGAAATTCTCGCCATAACAACTTACTCCTTCACACCGACCGACCAAAGAGAGAGATTTTCGAAACAACCCACAAACAACTACTCGTCGACTCCGTCAAACACTCCCTACTACATACAACCGACCCGGCCCTTCCTCCGTCATCCACCACAAACAAACAACCGCCAAACAAACCAAACACACACATTGATCACATCATAAAACACCCACAACAACAAACAACATCAGTCGACCTGTCTCTTGCATTTGCATAGGTATCATTATCAAGGAGAGGAGGGGAGCACAAAAAATGGGGGTCCGCGGAGGATATACCACTTTGTCTGTCTTGTCCATCTATCCATATGTGTGAAATGTTTGTACGCTGCATGTCTGCATTTTCTTAGGTATCTATCATCTGTCAAGAGTTTTCCAACTTGTCTATCTACTTACAACTATGTACCGTACCTTTTTCTCTTGTATTTATCCATGCTGTGGGAGGAAGGAAGGGGAGGGGGAAACAGGGAATAGCATCGGCGAAATTACAATAAACAAAATCTGGATAACTTAACTACATAACATGCGATAGCAACTGACTGGGTGGGTGGGCGGCTTATTGTATGTACACTAGTTAAATTGCATCCTCTCAACTCAACTAAAGTCAACTGTTCCATTTGCAATGATGTCCTAACACCATGCGTGCGATAACATGCCACCATTACTCCTACTATCATAAGTACCTAACTCCAGTTCATTCGTACCCCTATTGATAAATTACCGTCCGTAATATCTCATAACGCCATTTCACCAAGTGAACCTGCTCAACTTACAACCTCATCCGTTCATCCACCACCACCAACATCATACATCATCGTAGCCCACAATCTATCTCCCTACCCAATCCATCCATCCCTATTCATCCTTCATCACCCAGTAAGTAACCCTCACTTCCCAACCCTCATAAAACCCCCTCATAGCCCCTGCCTGCTCACATCAAAACAACAATCAAACAAAGCCACCCATCCGGATACGCCGCGTCCCTCATCAACTCCTCCAGCGGTGCCGAGAACGGCACGGGAGCTCCGTGCAAGATGACGTTTGCCAGGACTGGGTCGCGGCTGCTGGGGAAAAGGGCGGGTAGGAGGGATTTGAGGGCTTGCCCTAGTGTTTGGGGCGTTCCTGTTCGAGAGTTAGTCAAGAGGAAAAAGGAGGGGGAAAGGGGGACGGAGATAGCGAAAGCTTACGGTTGTTTGAACCCCGTGGAGGAACGAGGGTTTGCATCACCCGGTAAGAGCCGGAGTTGTTAGGGCCGGGTCCTCCTTGGGTTTGGGTTTGGGTTTGGTCTGATGAAGGTGGTGATGCGGGTATGTAGATCCGTATTGGAACGTTTTTGAGGGCTGTGGGAGCGTTGAGTAGGTGGGTGTTTACTTTTGTGAAGGCTTGGTAGTCATCTACACCACCCAGTTAGTCTCCCTCTCCGGAGAAAGAACAGAAAGGGGGGCAAGGGAATGGGAAGAGGGGGAAGAGGAGTAAACATACTATCCTGCACAGCATTCCACAACGCCGTCGTATGCTCCTTACTCAAACCCATGATCCGTTTCGCATTTCCATTTCGGATAAAATCCGCCTAAGTAGGTATTCATCGTTAACCTCTCACCCCCCTATCTATCAACTCTCCCCTTTCACCGGAGTCACCACCAGAGTCAAAACTCACCTCCTTAGCACTATTCATAAAAGTATCACAAATATCCCACTCCGCCCCATCAGCAACCGTCAACCTCCACGGCAGCTCACTAGGCTGGTACAGATCCACCAGCAGTCCGACCGCAAAGTTACGCAGGTGGACTTCCTCATGGTGGAAACTCGAGCACGGAGTACCGTAGTAGGCGGTCAACCGGGGCAGCAGCAGAGCGAGGTAGCTGAACCGCGGTACCGAGCAGATGTAGGGCGTCTTGGGGTGGGATTGGTGTGTGATGTAGAGAGGGATCTGTAAGGACCAGAGGGTTTCGGGGATGGAAGTTGGTTTTGGTTTGGGGGGTAGGGGGGTATGGGGTATTAGGGATGAGGCGGATGATCTTTGGGGGAGGTCATCGTAGCTGCCGTCTCCGGATCTTTGTTCGGATGGACGACCTCCGCCTCCGCCTCCGCCCCGGAGACCGGAAGTAAACCCGGGACTCAGACCGAGACCGGTACCGGCTCCTCCGGTCCCTCGTGAGGATCGGAACGGAGTAGAGCGGAGCGAAGGAGATGATTGGTACTGATCTTCTTGGTAGGGGGACTCTTCCCGCTGCGGAATCTGTGGGGAGTGGGAGTAGGGGTTTGGGGATGCCATGGCTACCTGGTTAGCTACCTCAGGGACCGACCGGGTCTTGCTGGGCTGAGGCTAAACCTGACCTGACCTGACCGGTTGAACGCCGTCGGCCGGCAGGTGACACGGAGTGGGATGTGGGATGTCCTTCCTCTCTGCGGCGGCAGTGAGGGCCGCGATGTTTTGGCCTTGCTTTTTGCTGATCAGCGAGATTGGCAGGGGCTTTACTGTTTCATGCAGTACATCTTGGCCGGTCAGAAACAAGTCGGTTATCGATGGCTGTAGTGATGGTATTTGGAGTCCTTCTTTGCTTCTTTTTCGTAATCGGCGGTGGTTCTTTGTTTCGTGAAGTGAGCATGAGGTGACGTTGAAGTTCAGATGACTGGCGTGTTGTTAGCGGGTAACTACAGTGGGGTAAGGCAGGTGATACAGTGGTGCATCATAGTTAGTGGTGACTGCCTACTGCCTCGGGGCACCTGAGATAACATCGCTACGACCAACTGTAGAAGCAGGTAAGACTGAGTACACACTCATTGCGACGAGCCATATTGTCACATATTCTCCAGTGACTCAGATTCAATTCCCGTATCATTGCAGAATATAGCTGTGAGGTTTCGGAGCTTAGGTACGTCTCCGTCTCCATAGTGTACTGCGGATGATAGTGACAGTGGCTTACTGCGAGTTGAAGTTGAACCCGACAGCGATAATTGTTAGCGAACCGAAGGGCCGAACGAAGAGCTGTGGACTCCGAGTACCGACGCCCGTATCTTTCCTTCTCCAAACCGCATGCTCGTCCGGGGGCGCGTTTGATGTCCACTGCAAGTCTGCAACTGACCTGCCTTTACATGATGCATGTCACGACACGACACGACGCGGCCGCCTTTTATGTGGACCTCAAACTGAACTCATACTGTACGCTGCTTTTGGAGTAAGAAATCGGATATAAGAATATCTACTGTGTGCTGTTAACCGCCATGCAAGGAGCGTAGCAGTCTACCACAACGACCCGGGCGGATGGGATGGGACAGGGCCGGCGGACAGGATGATGGCGAGTACGTTTCAATCCGAATACCAGCGCCATCATCGTCAGAATGGGAACACATTCATCAATCACTCTTTCTGAGGTACATACCCGTCGCCAATGCCACCCTCCCGTGCCCTGGGACCGGCAAAAGCAGCCTCCTCAGCTCATCACTAATAGTCTGATAGTCGAAATGGCCTGACGTTTCGCTTCCTTTTGTTCTAGAGCGCCCACCTTACGAACCTTCCAAACCTTCTAAGACTCCAGTGACGGTTGAGCGTTTCGCTTAGATGCTTCTGACACTGTATAACTTGTAGCGATGGGACACTTCTAGCGCGAAGCGAACGAAGCCCTTGGGAAGCCTGAGAAGCTGAACTTTTTGTCGATTCTTCCATCTCTTGTGAAGTCAGTCTATCGAGAAATATGGCACGATTAGGAGACAAAAAGACGCACGGGCAGAATGCTCCTGCAAGCATGCAAGTAAAGTGATGAGGGTATCGTCAACCACCACCACCACCACCACCATCCACCCACGCTTTTAGCGTATCCAGATCCTCGGTTTTCGCTTGGCGCTTCCGTATTCTTTTTTAGTCTCCGACGAACGATGAACGGGAGACTCACGGGAGGAACCTCTCTCCTGGGAACTCTTTGGATCGTCAAAACCGTGTGAAGTCGTTCAGGTTTCTGGCCTTTTTCTACTGATTCACCTGTCAACTAACACTGTCCTGTATCTCCCGACGCCTATCACCACCCATTATTCCCGCTGTAACACCGCAACAGACTGCCTCATTAGGCTCATTACCCGGCCGTGCCGGGACCCCAAGAAATGTCTTGGATGCTGTGACATTCAGTTGACAGGGCGGCACGCACCGAACGACAGGAACAAGCGGGCGGAAATATGGCCTGACTTGATCTAGTGAAATCTAGATCTTCCTCTCCCTCCGTTCAAGCTTCTAGAATAACCCGTTCCACACACTCCGCTGATGTTATTCTAGAAGGCCCGAAGATTGTACACTAGGTACTCGCATCCGCAATTTATCCTCTCTTCGGTAGGAGAGGCCGACACTAGACTAGTAACGGGTGGTACCCAGCTGGCCCAGGTACCAGATAGCTGGGGACTTGGGACACACTATCGAACAACACTATTGACGACGGCCCGCTAGTGAGCAGTGTTCAGCGAACAGACAAACAACGACGACGGGCTTTGGTTCGTTGGTGGAAAGTTTACCGCAGTCCGGAGTTCGTAGTTCGTACCGGCCCATCACTAAAATCAGATGTACTCCGTATGGTTATGATTTGTAGATCACGGAGTACAAATCAGAGCAGACTGGGAGCGGAGCGACGGGAAGATGGGATCACGATGTCCTCCCACTTCCCTCCCTATGTTTCCCCCAGGCATGGAATTACAGTGTCCTCCCACTTACTTCCCTTGATATGCTTTCCGTATCTTCTATTCGGATTCAAACTCCGCTGAGAAATGATCCAAGGGTGCGGAAAGGGACGTACGTCTGTTGCAGATGTCAGGATCAGTTCGGCTTACAGATAGATGGATGAATATTAACTATGTACGGCGCATTCCCTTCTTCGTCTGACCAACATGCCTGTCTGCCCGGTCACCAACGGATAGATACAATAGGAGAGATGATCACTCACTCCGTCCTACACTACCACCTACACCCATAAACTATCATATAGTCTACCTATCACACTGCCTGTCATGTCCGGTTTCCATCTCACCTCACACATTGGCTCCGCACAGGGAGAAGCATCACAATGATCACTTACTCTTGATAATCCTTCCATCCACCCGTCCGTCTTCATCAAGATCCCATATTTCACTAATCTCTCCGTCTTACCTCCTCTCATCTCACACAATCATCTCACCGATGGAAAGACATAAGAAGGTGCCGTGTCCCGTTGCAACGGGTATGACATGGTGGTCAGCTCTCTGTTACCATCTCTACCGCACGTGGTCAGTTTGATATCACCTTCTGAATCCGTGATTAACCACTGATGGAGAGAGAGGGTGGAGATACAGTTGACGTGAGATAGGTACCTCTACGGTACGTTGTTTAACCGGAGTCCGATATAGCAGGATCACCAAAAATGGATTTCACTTGAAGGGGGCAAAACCTTTTTGAGGCTGGAAGATGCATAGCAGCACACGTTGCACACAAAGGTGGGTCAGAAGATTGTAAAGCAGCGCATCAAACGTTCTTCATTTCAGTTCTTTCTTGCCTTCCTTCCATGGTTCCGTGCTTCTTCACCACTTTCATTCACGAAGCTATGCAACGCAACAACCAACCATATATCCAAGACACTATTCAACAAGTGAAGAAGAAGAAAAAAAAAGAAGCAAGACAAGACATTACCCATGTACTATTTTTTTCCAACCGCACGCTTTGACCATTGACACGAGCAGAACGAACAAAATGAATCGGCAAAACTAACCCTCAGTTGGTTATGGTATCAATAATGAGAAAAGAAAAACTATCCAGGTTATGTAATGATGTGATGCGCAGCCCAACTATGCCAGAAGAGGCACTGGTGGAAGGGATGTAGAGTGTATGCAATTAGGAAATAACGGGTAGTAGATGCCGCTCAAACAATGCTGGTCTTCCTACTCCTCCTCGAAAACACCCTCGAGAAACTGTTCGAGTCCCCAGCCCCATCTCCCCCTCTCGAACTTGTGACAGTGTTAATCGACGGCGCCGGCCCGCCAAAATCGAACGGCGCCACTTCCCCAATGCTAGGCGGCGGCCCCGAGTTCCTCAGGAACGAAGCCAGATCCGAGATTCCCGAGGTGGGAGCTACGTGGGCGTCCCTTGGCTCGAACCTCTTCATGGCTACGCGCGGAGCGGTGGTGCCGCTTGATTGTGACATGCCTCGCCCTCGTGACATTGGCATGTTTTGGTTGTGATTGACCGACTTTTGGTTGACGGAGGAAGGTGCGTATTTATCAACGCCGGGGGGCATGTGAACTTGGAGCGGGGTGTAGCCCCTTCCGCTGCTGGCGCTGGCGCGGCTGCTGAGGCCTCGAGATTCGTTAAGCCTTACGGGGCTTAGAGGGCTCATACTGCCGGACGAGCTTGGAGGGACATTCGACTTGTTTTCGCGTCTAGTAAATCGTGACATCAAGCTCGTGGCGCTTGATTTCTTCTTCGGTTGCGGCTGCTTTGGTGAGGTCACCACGGGAGAAACAGTGGGTTCTGGCGGCGGAGGAACGTTATTCAAGAAGTCCATCAAGCTCTCCTCGTTTGTCGGTGGTCGTTTTGGCTTAACCGGGTAATCATCATCCTCATCAAAGTCCTCCTCGTCGGTAAGGTCGATAGCATAAGGGTCGCGTGGCCCGCGGCGCTTGCGCTGCGGCATGGCTGATGGCATTGGCATCACCACATCGTCCTCCTCTATTCCTTCAAATCGCCCGGTGGCGGTGCTATGCTGGGGCTTGTTTTTGCTGAGCAGAGCACTCTGCGAGTTGGCCGATGACTGGAACGAATACATCGAGTTATTGGTGAGATCGGTCGAGGCCTGGCTGTTTCTGACGTCGACGTCGCGCAGTTGGGCATCCACAGCTTTACCGCCGGCTTCTTCGATAGACATCTGATCGGAGTCCAGCGTCTTCCGGAAAGGTGCGACTGCTTGCGGGATCCGTGGATTGCCCGCGGTAGGTGGGCCACGTCGGATGAAGTCGATCAGATCTGAGTTATCGTCCCTGTCGGTATGGGGATCACGGGCTGTGAGCCGTGGACGGTTGATAAGGGGAACAGAAGGCGGAGAGACAGGGCTCGGGAGCCCGCTCTGCTCCCTTGACAAACGGTTCATGGCGGCAGTGTTAATACCAGTAGGACCCGTTGCGCGAATGAACACGGCAAAATCAGCTACCGACTCTCGGGATATTCTTGGATCTCTCGCTTGCGGCGGGTGCGCACGTGGGGGCTGTGGAATTGCATGCAGGATCGGGCCGGATGTTGTAGGGCTATTATTACTGTTGCGCTTCAACTCGGGCATGGGATGTTGCGAGTGGGCATCCTTATCCTTCTTGGCATCTTTCTTGCGATTAGACGACGATGATCGAGACCGATCTGAGTCGCGACGGAGATCCTGGCTCTTCCTGGGTTTAACAGCTGTGTTGGGGCTACCGGTGGACCGCGTCGACTGAGACTATATCTGGAGGTTAATATCCCTTCGGGCGCTAGTTAAATGAATGATATCCAACTTACGTCAATGTCTCGCATGCTTTCGGGCGTTAGCGTGAACTGGATGGTCTGATCGCTCTGGATGAGCTCTTCAAAGTTTCGCGCGACATCTTCCCGAGATTGCGCCGCTATCGAGCCTTCCTCCGAAGTCCTTACCGGCCTCAGCTTGTTCGTCGACTTCGTCGACTTCAGCGATGAGGACGACGATATCGAGCTGGCTGTTTCCTGTCGCACTTCTGTTTCCTGTCGCACCATTACACCAGGTTTTGGCGGTTCCGGGAACCGAGAAATGAAGCCCGTCTCAGATGCCCCACTGCGACCACGAGAGCGTTGCACAGATATGTTCCCGATCGAAGTCGGTATGTCCTCCGCAGAAAGATTACTGGGAGTCCTCCTGCTGGTTGTGGGACTCCGATCAGGCATCTCTGGCACAGCAACCTCCGCGATCACGGAGACCCTCGGGCGACTCTGGGCGTGGTGCGTAGGAGGCGGTTTGGACTTATCTTCAAAGTAAAATGTCCCAGCCGAACTGGTGGGGGTTGTCATTTTGGGCGTGGAGCGGATGGGAGATGAGCCGGGCGACCCACGCTCCGCAACCGAGCCTAGAATTGGGTCAGAACCACGCGAAATACCTTGACCCTCAAAACCATCTGGCGAAGGAGGCTCGGGAATCGCTTCGAGAATACCGTCATCCGTAATAGGAGAGACGTCTTCGGGGGCAACTTCAGCAGACAACGCCGATTTGTTACCGCCGTGCCCAGAGATCCGCGCCCCGGATGCACTGTCTGGCGAATATCGCGATCGTTCCTCGGCGATTGAGGCCGTTCTGAGACTACTGCTTCGGGATAAGCGCATATGCTCGCTTGAATCTAGTATTGGGCTGTTGCGGGCGGCCGTGCCAGGGCTGCGAGGACTGGTTACTTCGATCAAGCGTGCCGAGTAGATGCTAGGTGTTCTAGTCCTTCCCATCGTCGTGATGATGGGTGCGGGTCTTCCTTGTTCAGACACCGTGGGAGATGCGCTTCGGCCAGAGATGGATATCCTTGATGAGGTGAGAATCTGTGGTTCCTCGTCCATAGACTCATCGTCATATTCGCTTTCATCGCTACCCTTGACCTCATCTTCGGTCTCAACATTGCCAGAGTTCTGCGTTTGAGGCTTCGTCTCGGCCTGCTGTAGAGAGGCAGGGGCATCCACAAGCGAAGCTTCAACTGGGCTCATTTCTGCACCTCCGAGGTCGTTTGACTTTTCGTCTCGTGTTGGCTGCTTGTCATCTGAAGTCTGAGACTGTTCCAGATCCTTTTCGCCAACTGAGGGAAGGGGTGCAAGCTCGCTCGCCTGTGGCTCCGTTCGTGTAGGAGAACCGCTGGGAGTGGCAGTAGGGGTCGGGAGTGAATTAGAGCGTTTCTTGGACGCTGACAGAGGAGTATGCGACGGCGATAGAGTAGGAGTCGGCGGGTTAGCAGGCTTGGTCATGGGCCATACCAACAAGCTCTTTGGCCGCACTGCCCTCTTCCGAGCAGCTCTCTCTTCTGCTCCGTCTTTGCTCCGAGATCGAACCGACAAACCAGTACCTTCGATCTCTTCCACGTCATTGTCACCCATTGGCAAAGGAATGGCGGCAGCACTCAAATACTCCTCCACCGTTTCCTCCTTGGCTGTCTCCTTTGTCTCGGTCTCGTTCGCATCAGCCTTGGCCCCTGTTTCGTTCGTAGGCTCTGGGATGGTTTCTGGTACTGGGGTTTCTGTGACGCTGGATGAGCGCAGGTGCGTCGGTGTTCCACGAGACGAGCGCATCGAGTCCCTCGAAAAGGAGTGGGACAAACCTCTGTCCAGATTGGTGATCACGGTCGGTCTGATCTTTTTCTTCCACGTCCTCCACAGCCTTCCCAAAGTACGATCAAGCGCGACTCGCTCCATGTCGAGTTCCTGCACCACAATTTGTTCGGTTGCCTCGCCGGGTTTCCGCAGGCCCTCCTTCAACTCCTTCTCGTACTTAACACGAATGCGTTGAAAGGCGGCCTGCCCCGCAACGATCAACGCTTGCTCGCCTAGATATTCAATGATCGAGGTCAAGAACATGGATACAGCAGAAGACACCAATTCAGAGGATTGGTCCTCCTGCCGTGGGTTGAGAAGCTCCTTCTCCATATAATAGTCCTCGTCCTCCTCTTCCAAGTCACCCAGGGACGAGTATACCATACATCGTAGCCGGGTCCGTTTCCAGATCAGCTCCAGGTCCAAGTCTTTGGCTGCGCTGGAATCTGGTACGTCATCCTCAGCGTCCCCCATGTATTCCTGCAACTCCTCATCCGCCTGGTTGATGACATCTTTGGCAAGCTTCGGCTTAAGGACTTCGATTATGGCTGGGCGGAGGGCAGCTAGCGTAGCTGAGCGTGCGACTGCGATGAAGTTGAAGAGTAGGTGGTCGAGAAAGTTGTTGACTAGCTGTAGGGCGGCTGGAGAAACGAGGGCTGGTTCGGCGGAGGGCTCGATGCCATGCTGATCGAGCAAAGCGTCGGCATGGCTGTCGTGGTCGTTGGTGACGATTTGCGAGGCGGCCGAGGCGGCGATGAAGGCCGCTTCAGGAGACACGTTCAGCGGAGGCGACATGAAGCTGGCCGCAATGGTAGACGGTCTGTCGCTCGATATACTCTGGGCCCTCGAGCGGGAATGCGTCTTTATCGAGGGAGAAAGGATGGCCGACTCGGGCCGAGACATGGCCTGGTCTGACGAGGGAGCCATGTTTGTACACGAAGCAAGAATGCAGCTGGTCTTTGTGTGGTGAATTAGGGAGTTGCTAATCTAGCGGGATGCAGGTCGTCTGGTGTTCCGGCAACACGACAGGTAGCTAGCGCGACGAGGCGTCAGGCCAGCGAGGGAGCACAACAGGGCCGAGCATTCGTAGAGTTGAAAAATGCGCAAGAATTAAGCAAGCAAGGGGCCGAGGCGGGTGGATATTGTATGGCCGAGTGGGCGGTAGGGTGAGACCAGGGGACCAGGAATGATCCAGAAGAGGTGATATATCTCGCAGGCGGGCGGGAGGCTGCTTTTGTGCACTGATTCGTCAGTTGAGCTACTCGCGGGCATAGAGCTGATGGCGTATAAGATGGAAGAGGCATAGAGGATACGGCGCCGAGGCTGAAACACGTTGGCGGGAGAAGGAGGACATGAAGATGGGGGTATGGGAGTAGTATATAGCCAATGTTTGGCTTGGATAGTAGGAAGATGGTGTAAGACGGCGGTAGATGACACAACTCGGTGCTGCCGTTAACCCATATCCATCCAACCTCAGTGTTGATGCGACCAAGCGGCACTGGATGCGACAAACATGGCTGAGTGCTGGGAAGAGGAATTTACTCTGGACTTTGTACGTCCTCTGCAGCGAATTTCTGCGGCACCGACACAAAACAGGCGGGATGCAAGCAGGCGAGGCAGCCAGCCGTTGGCCTTTTTCCATCCTTGGGGTTTCCATATATTTGCCAACATAACATGTCCCGGCCTCCCCTCCCCCAGACTGCCCCAATGTGCCCCCCGTACGACTTTGTGACGACTAATGGAACTACGCACCTTGAGATGATGGACCAATCAGTCCTGGCTGCTGACTCTGTTGTGTAAAGTCAAGGAGATATTCTCCGATCGAGCTCGAAAATGGGTGGACGAGGTGGGTGATGCTGTGCTGAAATTACACGAAAATCGACTGGCTGATGACCGAAAGAGGGAGGACGGATAACGCAAGGGCGCAAAGCGAGAAATAGCGAATGAACCAAGAATAGAAAGGTACAAGAACGGATAAGAGTCGTCGACTAGTATGATGATGCTGTGGTCGTGTAATAGATGTGGTTGGAATGGGATGAAGTCAAAGTCGAAAGAGTGGCGGGAAGGAGAAAGTGGAAGGATGGAATGGAAGACGGGACGAAGAGAGATCACAGTGTCTAATGCCTGATGTATTTGTCCCGTATCGTTTCGTTACGAGACCTCTCCGGTGCCAACTACCCGAAACCGAAGTGTCTCGGAATCGAGATTGGCGCTACGGTCTGTCGGCAATGATGATGATGATGGTGAAAGAAAGAATACTCGGTAGTCGTGAGAAAAGAACAAGATGACAAGCTGCAAGCAATATGGGAATCTGCGGAGAAACCTCACTCAGGGGCGTTGTCCGGTTCACAAGCCGGGGGATAGGGGCATTTGCCTCTTTTCCCTTGTACGATGCCGTTCCTTCATTGAACATACCGCATCCTCTCATTCAAGTCGGATTTATCCCCCCCTGTCCCACTAGTCCTACTCAAGTTTAGGAGCTGTGCTGTCCTGCCATCCGCTGCGAGTCACCCGCATGCTGGAACTTGCCAGTCGTCTTGAGTGGTCTCGCTAAGTCTGTCAGCCCCATCTGCTACGTTGGCGCTCCGGCATGCAGGTCCTTTCCCCGATCTACTAGACCGTATGTGGGAAGGATAAATCCGACTTGAATGAGAGGATGCGGTAATGTAAGATTCCAGTTCCTGACTCTGCTATTATAACCCTGTGTTTTTGGGGGGAGCCGGGGTTACTACGGGGGCTCGGGGGGTTACCCGGAGTCCCGGAGTGGAGGGTTAGAAGGGTCCAGCAACGGTTTGGCTTCACCCACTTCGGGCCCTATGGTCTAATTGCTATAAAACCAACGGCCTAGCGTGCTAAGATTGGGGATCCCTTCCTTCCAGCAACAGCATTGATTTCCAGGGCCTGACGCTAACCAAGCTAGCCCAAGCTCTCCCTGGCTTCCGGTTCGTGCTCTTGATTGTTCTAGGACATTTCGCTAGAAGGGAATATGTTGTTCGTATTGTTCCTGTCATCGTATGATTTCATTGTTGGTATCACAAGATCGGTATATAATCTCGAGCCGTGCCTTCCCTTGATATTCCTCGCCTCTTATCTCCCTACATCTTTCTCTTTCTTCTTGCGCCGTGTGTTCCTGCCTCCAGCGGGAATAAAAGTGAAGCCAATTGGAAGGGATTGGGGATGGTGTCGAAGGGCCCACCCACTTTAGTGAAGTGGGGTCACTCCGGGCAACCGGCAAAGGTGGGTCATTAGCTGCTTGGCTCGCTTGGGAACGGCAGGGGCCCCTGCACACCCTGTGCCTATCAATTCAGGTACCAGAATGCCACTGAACGGTCTCGAAGCAAAGAAAATGTTTAGAACCGTCATCGAAACAAACATCAACCACCGAATGCAATGCATCTGGCTCCAAGAGAAAAAGAAAAAGAAAAACTCGCCGTTGCAGATTCGCCACTATTGCGACTCGAAACAGCCAAACAAAGTCCAGCTTGTTCAGGTGACCGTCGGCGGCGTCGACGATAACCTCAGGGTAGCATTGAGTGATCAAAGCGCATTGCGGTAGTGTATTGCGATTTGCAGCGTGGTGCTCGGACCTGCAGCTACTACTTCAAAGGTCCTTTTTGCGGAGTCTGGAGAAGGTGCGATCATGGATCAACGGTGACGAGCGAGACCCCGAAAACAACAATTATCAAGATGCTGCAAGAGCGACCGAAACTGCAGGTCGAGCTTGCTTCTGTCGGAGTATGTTTATCCATCTTGCAGCTTGGCGGTTGGTGACGAGCCAAAATCACAAGATATCACGGGTTTCGTCTCTGTCTCGATCTCGGGATGTCCCTTTTTCGTCCCCTCAACACTGCAACTTCAGATGAACCTCTCTTTCCCGGCATGATGCCTGTCCCTCCAACGTCTTCCCACAGACACGACGCCACTCCATCCCTCCACCATGGGATCCTTCAATGATAACAAGGCAAGAAGGCGTTATTGGCGCACATGCATTCTCTTGATCCTCTTGTTTGCTTCCCTCGCCATACCTTCAACTCTCGTATTGGAAGTCTTGGGATGTTTGTCTCGCAAGGAAGCCACCACGGCACGGGCCCCCAACTGGACAAAACCACAACCGGGGATATCGCAAGGAATGTACGGAACAGTGGAGAGAAAGCTTCCAAACACCTGATCGTGGGGTCAACCTCAGGGCTCTGGAATGGAATCATAAAGGCCCTGGAGGACGGCATTGTGAGAAATGGATTCCTTCTCCAAAAGTCAACGGCCAGGAACAAGCTCCCGAGAGGCCGAGACTCTCTCCAACTCCACTGTCGAGCCCCGAAAAAGGTATTGCCAATCTTGCAACGGGCCACCAGCTGCCCCGAACCCCATCAGGAGATAATAGAAAACGGCAGATCTCGCCCACTTCTAGACAGACGAAAGAAGTGTCCAGACTCGTCAACCGCGTTCCTCAATTACGGCGAAATATCGACAAGGTTGTCATCGTCAGACGTTAGCGAAGTCGTTGATCGCTATCGGCATCCCCGGCCTGGCCCCCCGGACGATAATACACCCAACTGCACATCCGACGACGACGACGACGACGACGACGACACCGAGGCATAGTGCATCAATCAAATGAAGACGACAAGATACAACCTTGCCTTTCCCCATTGCCTCCCCCTAATATCCGCGCTCACTGTCAGGTGTCAGCGTACACTCAATCACGACAATGTAGTAGTCGCACAAACTAACGACCAGTTACGACCTGATCTAGCGAACATGACAGCATAAGCCTCTCGGGAAGTGTAGCCAATGCTAAGAATAAGTTTATATCCACCATTCCTCCGAAAAGGGGAGTTCGCCAAAGAGAACAACATATCGACCGCTTCTGGATGCCTTCTCTAATATAAGACCTGCACCAAGATCTGCACTCCAGAAAGCAAATTACACTTTTCATTCCATATATTCCATATTTCCATGCCACCTCCCGTCATGCAGCCGGCCGTTCCGCATACCTACTTCTAGACACCAGGCTACGGACGAATACTTCAACGCAACGAAGCGCAACGTCAAAAACATGTGTGTCCCTGGCCGTGGAAAGAAATGCATGGACAGAAAGGCGTGATCCCTTCCCGTCCGCTTCCAGCTAGATATTGCACCCGTCGTACAAAGATGGTAACTAGGGGAGCAAACATCCTTTCTCGTGGACTTCCATGTTTTTCTTTCCCCGTCGTTGCCCGTGTTCTCATTTCTTTTCCATTGCACAGAGCCAACAGCTTGGAATGCGGTGGGGATGAGCAATAACAAGCAAGCAAGCACCGTTGAGGATGCAGGACGATGCATGGAAAAAACCAGGCAAGAAGGGTGAATGTTTGCTTTTCCGGCCTTTTCCTTCTTTTTTTTTTTCCTCGCATGAAGGGCATGGCTCTCGCGTGCTTGCGTGCCACTAACTGGGCTGAGAGCAGCAAGCTTTCCCTGTGCATTTCTGCATCTCTTTGCTTTTGTAAGGAGGTGACGGAGAGGAAGATATTCCCTGCCGCGCATCAAAACAATTTTGAACACCGGGCCGTGAGGCCGATTTGTTCGTGGTATGGCGAGATGAGTATAGTACCCGTGTCGACGGACATGATGGCCAGTGCTTCGCCGAATTGTCGAGGTCTTCGGCCCTGTGGATGATGATCATCCCGAAAGAGCTGGTGATTGCCAGTGACCGGAAAGGCAAGTTGGAAAAAGAAAGCGAGAACAAGGTGATGATGATAACTTTACGTTCCAGTTACTCTCATCATCGACCATCTCATCCCTTCACATTGAGCCGCAGCTTCTTTGTTACTACTGGGGTGGCGCTCTCATCATCATTGTCGTTGCCGTTGATGTCTGTCGATGAATGAATGACCATAACAGACTAGAGATCACACACTATCACGATCTCGAGATCCACCATCAGCTCCAGTCCAGTGGTGGTGACTCGAAGTTTCGAAACTCCTTCCCTCTTCCCATCAGTTTTCCGTCGGGAGTGATGCGGATGTAAAGGCGTTCTGTCACATTTCCCATGAACTGTCATAAATGTGATGTGCTCAAATCTTGAACTGTCTCTCGGTAATCTTGGAGGCTCAGTCCCGCCGCCAGGATCCAAGATCTTGGTATACTTGAGGCTCAATATGTAGCTTGTGATAGGCCGGTATCCGATCATCCTGAGAATATCCTAGAAGGCTAGAAGGCTAGAAGGCTAGAAGGGACCTGAGACATGTACCCTATGTTATCTAGAGCAAGATATGATAGCTTGAAAGAATTGTGGAGGGGAGTATGAAAAAGAAGCGGGATCGACTCAGAGAAGGAGAGAAACTGTCACCGATGACCGCATTCTGAACAAGTGTATGAGAGTCTTCTACAGCGTATAAAAACGGGTAGTTTACCACCTCCTTGGGGGCTAAGATGAGTCAAGCCAAATGCCGACATTACAGTACCTTGCTGAGGTGCTCGCCCAGTCAAGACTTACCACGCTGGGTCAACAGAGGCGACGTCTATCCGGGTCGGATGATGCCGAGACGATATGGCCATCAGGCGGCCAGCCATATCGGATAAGCGGCTCAGTCGAACCATGGTATACGCACTCCAAGACATGAAGCCAAGACAAGATAGAAGATGGCGCCTTCTCAGTGGTTCTGAGTGAGCTCCCTGCAGCAGGGCAGGAGCGGGGGAAGTCATGGGGTTCATGTTCGGGGGTTGGATGATATAAGCTGAGCTGCGATCCTGCTGCGATAACTTACCTTAACCTCTACTGAGGATCGAGTTGAGTGTCGAAACAGCCACTGCAAATACATCGTCACTTGAACAGACCGACAGCTTGGACAAAAGAAATGGCCGACTTACTACTCCCCGAACCATTCGCCAGCATCCCGCGGGAGCCGCTGACCTTTGGCCCTTCCCCCATCCAACCTCTCCCCCGCATCTCCCAAGCTCTCGGGGGACAAGTCAACGTCTTCGCCAAGCGCGAGGACCTGAACTCCGGCCTCGCCTTTGGAGGCAACAAGACCAGAAAGCTAGAGTGAGCGACATCCCCTCCCTTCTTTCCCCTAAGAAGCATACTAACGAAAGTCCCCAGATACCTCCTCCCCGACGCCCTCTCCCAAGGATGCGACACCCTCGTCTCCATCGGGGGCATCCAATCCAACCACACGCGGCAAGTCGCCGCCGCCGCCTCTAAGCTCGGCCTGCACGCCGCTCTCGTCCAAGAACACTGGGTCCCCGACTGGACGGACCCCGGCTACGACAAAGTGGGCAACATCCAGCTCTCCCGGCTGATGGGGGCCGACGTCCGTCTTGAAGCGCTAGTCGGGTTCGGGATTGAGCATAAACAGACGTTGGCGAAACTCAAAGATGACCTGGAGAAGGAGGGGAGAAAGCCGTATTATATCCCGGCTGGGGCGTCGGATCATCCGCTGGGAGGACTTGGGTTCGCGAGGTGGGCGTTTGAGGTGGTGGCGCAGGAGGAGGAGTTGGGGGTTTATTTCGATACGGTGGTGGTTTGTGCGGTGACGGGGTCGACGATGGCGGGGATGGTGGCTGGGTTTAGGCTGCTTGAGAAGTTGGAGCGGGACTCGGAGAAGTTAGGAGAAGAAGCTAAAAAGAGGAGGAGGAGGGTGATTGGGATTGATGCTTCGGCCAAGGTTGAGCAGACGAGGGCGCAGGTGTTGAGGATTGCGAAGCAGACGGCTGCCAAGATCGGGTTGAGCGAGGAGGATATCACGGAGGAGGATGTCGTGCTGGATGATCGGTACCATGCGGGGGTTTATGGCGTGCCGGATGAGAGGACGATTGAGGCTATCAAGTTTGGAGCGAGGACGGAGGCGTTTATTACTGATCCGGTGTATGAGGGAAAGAGTCTGGCGGGCATGATGGATATGATCAAGAATGGGGAGATTGAAGCAGGCAGCAATGTGCTGTATGCACACCTTGGTGGGCAGCTGGCGCTGAATGCTTACTCCGCTTTGGGGTTGGAATAAGATGCCAGGTTGTGTGATAAATAAATGCAATGCTCACACGCCGAAGGACTACGGAAGTCCGTTGCGTTTATTTCTCACATCCTGTATGCATGAGTGTACACGAGTCTCTCGATATCAAACCTCTTTTCTGACATGAGTCAGGTAGGGTTGAAGAATTTGATCGCTTAAAGTTCAGTCTAAAAATGCCAAGATGCAAGTTGTCGGAGAATGCTACAGAAAGTGGAAGCAATTCACAAATCATGTTTGGCGGAAGTTGCCATTGAGCTCGGCATAAGAGGTGGGCACGTGGGGGTGGATCTGCCCGTGGTGGTGGGGTCGGCTAAAACAATCCACTGAAGAAGCTCTCGAACGCCGCTATCGTTGAGCAAATTTTGTGTTGAGTGCCCCTCCGTACCCTCCTTCTTCATGTTGATCGCTGTGTTGAGTGTTGGAGAACAGCAATCGCGATGCAGGTGGATGTCATCTTGACGTTGGGGGAAGTTGCGCGCGGGTTCCGAAGCTGAACTTGGTCCGCGGACATTTTGCATCTTTTGATTTTTGAACGGGCATTGTCATTCTGTGGGAATTCTGCGATTCATTCTGTTGTTTACTTCGGCTTAAACCTCTTGAGGCTCTAGGCTACCGAGGGGTTTCCGTTTGGTCATAGTATTTCCGACCTGCATCAGCGTATGCAGCGTATCTCCTCCGGGGCTCCATCAAGGCCATCCGCGGACCGCCTCAACGTCGCCTCAAGTTTCGACTTTTACACAACTCTGGTGGCCGGGCTGAAGAGTCATCATAGGAATATAAAGCGCCTCCATCCTCTCCCTCACTGTTATTCATCTCTTCACCAACCATCATCCACCTCGGCCAGCCCGACCACCACTCCCCATATATCCCTCTCCTCTGGCCCCATACGTCACCGCCAACACCATATTCTGGTCAGAACAGACGATTAGCACGCTCCTCCATTGCTTTCTCGTCTCAGTATGGCTCAGAAGCCTTCTGACACTCCCCTAGGGGAGAATGTCACACACGTTGTCCCATACCCCATGGCAAAGCTCCCATCAGACGGTGAGGGTGAGCTAGAGAACGGCCAAGTTCCTATCCAGCCTGACCAGATCCAATATGACATTGACAGGGTCGAGAGAATATATCGGTATGCTCATGCCCCATCGGCAACCACTCTATTCACCACTGACATAACCACAGCAAACTCGACCTCCGAATCATCCCCGCCTTCTGGATCCTCTACTTCCTCTGCTCCGCCATCCGCTCCAACATCGGCATCGCCCAAACCATGAACCGCGACGTCCACCACGACTTGATGTCAGTCTTGGGCATGACCGCCAAAGACACCTCCACGGCCCTCGCCCTCTTCTACGTCTCCTACGTCATCTTCGACCTGCCCTCCAACCTGGTCATGAGCCGACTTTCTCCCCGCGCCTGGATGGCTAGAATCGTCTTCGCCGTGGGCCTCATCGGTACTTGCTTCACGGCAGTCAAAGCCCCCTGGAGCGTCAAGTTCCTCCGCTTCCTGCTCGGCTTCGTGACAGCCGGCATGTGGCCCGGCATGTCCTTCTACCTGACGCTCTTCTACCCGCCCAGCCGCACCGGCAAGAGAATCGGCTATTATTTCACCGCATCGCAGCTGTCAGCGGCTGTGGTCGGCCTGGTGTCGGCCGGGTTCCAGAAGATGGATGGGCTACATGGATTCACGGGCTTTCAGTGGATGTTCCTCGTCTACGGAGTGCTGGGCATCGCGCTGGGCATCGCTCTGCTCTTTTGGTTGCCGGATCGGCCGCTGGCTCCGGGCGAGCAGAGAGTTAGACACAAGTGGTTGAGGTGGTTGCCGACGAGCCCGGAGGCCTTGACGGGCGAGGACGCCTTGATTCATTACCAGGATCTCAAGAGGGTGTATCACTCCAGGCCTTGGAACATGAAGGATCTGTGGTATGTCTTGATTGACTGGCGTCTGTGGCCCTTGGTGCTCATGTACTTTGGGGTTGTGGGTGTTGGTATCGGGACGCAGTTGTATGGGAGCGTCATCATTGCTTCCATCAACCCGAACTTTAGCGATATTACGGTTAGCTTGTTGTTTGCGCCTATTTGGTTGGTAAGTAGTCACTGGTTCAAACTCGCTTGTTCTTGTTTACGGAATACTAACGTCAATAGTGCGACCTCGTCGCTATCCTCCTCTCCACCGGCCTCGCCGATCGCTTCCACAAATACCGCGCCGTCTTCTTCAGCACCGGTGCTCTCATCCAAATCGCTGGCCTCCTCACTACTACCTTTGCCCTCGGAAATGACTGGGCCCGCTACGGTGGCTTGCTCATGATCGGCTTCGGTCTCGGTCCCACTGTGCCTGTCTGCATGGCCTGGACGAACGAGATCTTCCAGAAGCGCCACCGTGAGGTCGGCGTTGCTGCTGCCTCCGCTCTCGTCTCCGGACTCGGTAACCTGGGCAGTATCACTACTACCTATGCCCTCTACACCGGCTGGCCTGAGGATGCGGCCAAGGGACCTCATCAGTACCGCAAGAGCAACTACACCATGATTGGCATTCTGGCCATGAGCATTGCTAGCAGTATTGTCCTGACGGTTCTCCTCAGTATCTTTGGCATGGAGCCGAGCCAAAGGGTTGTGGCGAGCAGTGGCAGCTCTGCGGAAGAAATCCAGGACGGTGCTGCGTTGCGCGAGAGGCAGATGCGTGGGTTTTCGGGGATGTTGGGGAGGAAGAAGAACTAATCTGTTTCCCTGAAAGAGACAAAACGGGAGTTGAGCTTGCGGTCTCGTCAAACCATCACCGTCGAACTCTCCACGGAAGCACAAAGGGTGAAGCTTTGTTGCTGCCACACACAACCACCAGGAGAGGGCTACATCTGATGTGGTTCATCTCCGTCGCACCGGTTTACTTTGCGAAATTCACTCTACGACAACTGTCGAACGGCCCGTCTCCGTTCACGACACGACTACGTATACGACAAACTTCTTGCCTCACTAATCAACGATGATGGGACCGGGATAAAGTGACAATGCTTCTACGCTATCACTTCTCCCCAGCCCATCGTCACCTCAACACGAGGCAAGATTTAAACCGAGCAAAACAACGAGGAAAGAAAAGAAGACGAACACGAAACGAGAAGGACGAACGAGAAAAAACGGTGGTTTGCTTTTCAGTTTTTGGCTTATTGTTTATGATACCCCATCCGTGTTTGAATACGCTGTCGCCTTTGCCGAGTTTACTGGATACCCTTATTTTCTATCTCATCAATATCTCGACAGCGACAGTGCGCTAACGCCATCGCTGGGACGGCGTGTTGGGACCGAGTACCTTGATCCCGAAAGGGAGGCGGCGACAATGCTGTTACGCTATCGCCAATGCCGGGTCTCGTGGGCGTTTTTGCTTTTTTATATACATCATGTACCTCCCTATTTTGAAAGGAGATGAGGGAAAGGAGGAAAGAAGAACAGCAGTCGGGCTACCGGTATATGTATGGGACAGGTAGTCGGTCATTCGTTAGATGCTAGATCCTGATCAATACATCATAATCTCGCTGGAACTTCGTTACTAAGTGGGTAGCATAAGTCGCCCACCCTTCTCATTGACCATGATAAGGTGATCGAATCTGCCTTGACAGTTGGCACTAGATAGTCTCATGTTGCGCTCCTGATTCTACTTGTTCTTATATCGTTTTGGTGGACCAGAAATCGAGGCTCACCAAGACCACTTTCGTTCGATAACTGAGAGAAAGTTGACCCGAGCCGTAATACCCATCGAGGTTGTCCCATAGCTTTATTTCTGCAATTTGCTACCCTGCCCTATACTATCGAACCTTTGCTTGCTCACGGCCACCCACTCTTCAACCTTTCAGCAAAGAACTCCATCATAGGCAGCACCTCCTCCCTACTCCTCGGCATTCCATCATCCGGCCTCTTCCACTCCACCACCTTCACGTTCTCAAACTCCCTCTTAATCAAATCCACCTCATCCTCACCCACATACTCACTCTCGCTTCCGTGTAACACCAACACGGGCGTCTTCGCCTTCTCCCTCGCACTGATACTAGGAATCATCGAAGGCGGCAACGCCCCTCCAATCGACACGATCCCCTTGAACGCCTTCTCTTTCTTCGTCGTCTCAACCACTCCCTCCTTCACCTCCTCCCCCTCCTTCACCTCCCTAACCTTGGGTTCTTCATCTCCACCAACCACCTCCCAAATCCTCACTTTACTCCCCAACCCCAACGCCACCCCGCCACCCTGTCCAAACCCAAACAACAGCACATCGCCCAACTCCCACCCACATTTCCCCATCAACACCTCCCCAATTAGTTTGTTCATCACCACCTCCCAGACCTTTTCGTAGCCCGAATCCATATCTATTTCGCCAGTCCGTCCGTCGAGCTTTAGGTCGTCGCCCCAGTGGAAGTTATTCGTCGGGCCGCTGTCCAAAGGCAAGCCCAAAAGGGAGGGCGGGAGGGGGGCGATGCCACGGACGGAGATTGCCAAGACGCCGGGCAGAGAGAGGTTGCGCGCGAAGGAGAGGAAGGGCGCGTCCGAGTCGCCGAGGCCGTGGAAGAGGAGGAGGATGGAGGTGGTGGATTCGGGTGGGGTGGGGTAATGGAGGGAGACGTGGAGGCCGGAGGAGGACTTGAGGGCTTCGAAGTCTTCGGGTTGGGGGATGCGTGTTTGAGGCATGATGGTTTGGTTTCTTGTTGTTGTGGTTTCTTTGGGTGCTTGGTTGGGATGGTTTTCTTGAGTGGGTAGGTGGTAGGTGGTCGATCTTTTTTGAGGGGTGGTTTGGCCAGTGTAGCTTTGCGAAAAGCGTTGGAATGTTCGAGGTGACGGTGATGTCCTGACTGAGACGAGCTTGAACGTTTGACTGGGTGGGTGTCGATCGCTGAATGAGCGATGAGTTGTGAGTTGTGAGTTGTGGAAGGAAAGGAGAACGGACCAGCTGGGGATTTCATGAGATGACGATATCGTTCGTTGCCCGGAGCGGGTCCGTCCGTCCATCGGGCTCCGGAGCCCCGCTTTTAACCGAGTGGGTCCCCTGATCGCCGGATATTTCTACGAGTGTACAGAGGTAAACTTTGGTATCGTCAACTTTCTGATTGGAACGGTTCATTAATCAAGATAAGAAAGGAATATTGATGGATGAAGTCTTCTAGGATAGAACGTGACGAGCGCAAAGAGATCTGTTAGAGGTCAACATGTCCTTGCTATTGCCAGCTTCACACCTAGGCCATACATAATTCTTATGGCTTTTTCAAAGAGACCATGCCTAAAATGCACTTATTTCTTTTCTTCTTCTGTTGGTATCTCGTTTAGTCGATCACTTCTTCTCCTCCTCCACCACCTTCTCCGCAAACCCCTTCTCCTCCAAATCCTTCGCATCAGCATTCTCATCCGGGACCAACGGCGTCTCAGCCACCGAATCCACACCCGATCCCAAACCCGAAGCACCACTCTGCTCGTCGTCTATCCTAAGATCCGCAACCTTCTCCTCAATGTTCTTAGCACCCTCCTCACCCTCAAACTTGCTCCAACCAGGCTTATTCTTCTTCTGCTCGCCCGGCCCCTCGCTCTTGAAGTGATATCCCCTCGCCCTCGGCCTCTCTCCCAAACCCTGAGGGATCTCAGGTTCGTACCTCAATGCGAACTGCCGCGCTTTGTCTTCAAAGGTACCATCCGCAAGCGCCTCGCGGATGGAAGCGAAGAAGGAAGCCAGCACAGCGTGGTTGTGAATTTGCAACAAAGTCCAACCCAGCATTTCTCTGGCGCCAAGCAAGTGCTGGACGAAAGCCCGGTGGTGCGTGGTGCAGGCGTAGCAGGTGCAGGATTCAGTCAGAGGCTCAAGGGAGATGGAGTGCTCGGGGGAGGACATGTCGATTCCCAAGGGGAGGAGCCCCGATGATTCGGATGCAGGAGGGGGGAAGGTGAATGACAAAGCGATGCCGGCGTCGGAGGCGGTGGAGAGGAAGGGGAGGAGGAAGATGTCCATTCCCAAGGAAAGCTGGCGGAGGACTTGGTGAGGCGTGGATGGCGTGGTGAGAGCCAAGCGGGGGAGGGAGTCGAGGTTTTGGTAAGAGGTCGAGACGTCGGGGATCAAGTCGGCGTCGTAGACGGCTAGGCCCGAGAGGACGCGGGGGTTGGATGCGTGCTCTTCCGACAAACGCTCGATGTATTCCCATTGGATGGAGTAGCTGATGGGGAGCACGGGGGCAAAAGTTGCGATTTTGGAGGGCTCCTTGTTGGACTTTGGACCGTACATCTCGGTGAACCACTCCTTGATCCAGTCGTCGGCGCGCTCGGCCATGCGGAGGGCGCGCTTGGAGGTGGGCGTGCTGGTCTTGTGGGTGAGGTCGGCGAGGGGAATGGCGATGTCTGGGTTGAGAGTCTGGATGGCGTTGATGTACTGCTTTGTGGTGACGGCTTGGAAGCCGGTGGAGGTGAAGACGGAGACGGTCTGGTTGGTGTTGCCCATGGGGGAGGAGACGGCGGGAAGCCTCCTGGAGCCGAGAACGGTGATGATGGAGGAGGGCATGGCCGTGAAGCTGTTTAGGGGCTTGTTGATGGGCGAGGGAGTCTCATAGATGGGGGGTGGGCGGGTCATGTTTTGCTGAGGGCGCTCAATGACTGTGAAATTGTTAGACTATGATCCAAGAAGTGAGGGCACAATGACTTACAGTCCTCCAAGGCCATGTAAGTGCCATTGGTATGTAAGTGCTTCTCGACATTGTCTGGGGTTACGTGAGGGATGACACCTCTCGAGGTAAGGCCGAAGAAGTTGGGGGTGTCGACAGTACGACGACCTGGGAAGGCCAAACGACCGAGTCTGGCACCGCCATCCTTAACGGCGGTCTTGAGCAGTTCAAAGGTCATTGTTGTTGGTTCATGCCCATCACTCGACATCTTTTCAAAAGGGACCCCTCTTGGTGGAGAGGGGAGATGGGGTCTTGATACGAGTGAGTGAGGTGTTGGGATGCCGGGACCTAGAATTTTCAGGTTATGGAGCGGCAACGCAATGACCTCTCTTGATATTCCCTGGCTGATGGTGATGAGGATTCTCCAAGACACTTTTCAGATTTTTGTCTGATATCACCAGGTTAGTGGAAGCTTTTCTACAGTATCAAAACTTCGTGATACGCAGTTGGTTCGCGCAGTGTACACTAGCAGTGTAACTTTTCAATAACGGTATTTGCGTATTTTTGCGCGTTGGTTCACCGTTCTGCTCCGCCAAGCTGTTAAGGCCGCCTGTAGTGAGGGGTGCACAGGGGTTGTTCCCTGTAGTTCAGGTGCTAGAACGGCCTGGCCTTGGCAAAGCTGAAGGGAAGGTGGGGTTCTGGATCTGTCGGGTCCCTCTTTCCAGTGTCAGTGCCCCTGGGTGCCTGGCGCTCCCGCCTGCCCGTGTGTCGCGCCTGTCAATGTCAAAGTGTCAATGCAGTGGTGATAGACTTTGATACAACGGCCGTCGACATTTCCCAGATATCACCATTGATAAGAACAACAAAACAGTTTGAGGTTTTCCAGATCGAACGCCGAGAACACTGAGTCTCCGCCATGACGAAAAGGCTGAGCTGCAGGGACCGATTGGCAATGATCGTCAGCATATCCTCGAGTGGTCAGATGACACGACCCCATACCCAAAGCTTCCTGAGCCCATAGTCCGTATATTCACATACAAAATTAGTCCAACCCACAAAAGAAAAAGATTAATACAATTATTATAATACGTATTCATATAGAGTTAATTCAATATATTAAATTAATAATAGTAGTTCGAATAAAGTCCGATAATATATTTATAATATATTTAGAATATATTTTAAGCTGTAAACGAGGAAATTAGGTTTTATAAGTTTATTTGGGTCGTATATATAAAAGTCCCCCGTAGAAAAAGAATTTTATTCGCTCGCCCAAAGTTCCCCCGTAGAGAAATATAAAGTCCGATAATATATTTATAATATATATAAAATATATTTTAAATTGTAGACGAAGAAGGAGTAAATTCTGTAAATTTATTCAGATAGCGGCGGAATTCGTACTAAATAGCGTAGTTCTAGCCTTTACCGCCCTATTTAAGACGGTAGGAAGGAAGACCTATAATAAATTAATAATTAATAAAGGATTTATTAAAAATATATTTAAAGTGAAACTTATAAGTATATTTAAATTCTTTACATACCGTATAAATAAATTTAGCGGAAAAAGCAATATCATCGCGCTTTCTATATATCTTCTTTATTAATTAGATATTAACCTAAATATTAATTAAATTAGCCAAGTATAGCTAAAGGATATATTAGAGATAAATCAATAATTTATTAAAAATAGATCTAAAATACTTATATTACTATTCTTCTAAAAGGGGACTTCTATAAGACTATTTTCCTCCGCCTCCGCCTCCTCCTCGTTCCCTTTTTCTTATATTTCTTATTATTCTTTTTCTTATACTTTTTACTACTTTTCTTTTTGTATTTCCTCTTACTCCTCCTCTTACTCTTCCTCCTACTCCTCTTCTTATATTTCCTACTATTCTTCCTCCTACACTTCCTCTTATTCCTCCTCCTATTCTTCCTCTTACTCTTCCTCTTATTCTTCCTTTTATTCCTCCTCCTATTCTTCTTCCTATACTTTTTACCACTCCTCCTCTTATATTTCCTATTACTCTTTCTCTTCGATTAATAGTAAGTCCAATAAGTCCAATTCTTCGTCAATAACCGCTATTTTATATTTCTTAGGAATAACCGGCTATAAAGTCCTATTAAGAATAGGGACAGTTATAGCCTAACCGGAAGTTATAAAAGCTATAAAATCCTTATACTATTTTAAATTTATCCGTAATTAGTTTTAAATTATCTAAAAATTAATTAAGGATAAATTATATACCAATAATAATTATATAATCCTTAGCCTTAATACCTCCGATTAAAACGTTAAATAAACGCTTTTTAAAAATATCATAAATACCCTTTAAATATTTAATAAAATTACTATAAACAATAAATATAGTTTAAATAAATTAAAGATTAATTATTAATTTGATATCAATAACTTTAAAATATTATTTATATCGAAATTATACTAAATATCCGGGCTATTACAATCCGGCTCAGGCTCTTTCCAACAGCAAAAGATCTTACTAGAGGCAACTATATATACGCCCTATAAAGTAATTAGCGGAGATAGATTAAAAATAAATTAAAGATAAATTAATGATCGGTCTCAATACTTATATATTTGTCGGTCTCTAAAAGGGGCACTACGGCCTGACGCTTACTTTTATCTTCGGGTTTAACGGGTTTCTAATCGCCATCCAAATATTCTTTATATACGTCAGAGGCCGTAAATTTACAATAAGCGGGTGCTATTATAAAGAATAAATCATTAATAAATCTTGAATTAATTTCGATATATTTCGGAGGAGTAGTAGGGGCTAAATAGGGGTAAATCAATAAATATTTAAATAGTCGAAAAGGAATTAGAGAAAAGAAAATTTAAAAAAAAGATTCTAATTAATATAACGATTATTCCTTTCGCTAAATTAATAAATACGAATACGTGATTATATTATTAATATTATACTATACGTATCCACTAAGAAGGGTAAAATATCGGATAAATTTTATAACATAAATTAATTTCGGATAAGACTGGGATGAATTTAATTTTATTTATTTAATTATTTATATTAGCCTTAGTTTTTTGAAATAATACTACTTAAATCTTATATAGACCCGGTTAGCGATCGTATTATAAAATTTAGTATTATAATATAATTAATATTTATACGGGTTATATTTTTAAGAGGCTACTAATTCGAATTACATATTAATTTTTTTATATTTAAAAAGAAGATTATAAAATATATTATAAATTTAAATATATTAAGATACTATATATTAAAATAGTAAGTAATAAAATATTTACCAGTAGATATTTACCTATAGAGAAAGTTCTAATATATAAATTTTAAATTTAATATAATTCCCTACGTAGAAATATTAAATATTTAGCCTCTATTTATATATATAAAATAAGAAAAATACTTAATACAAAGTATTTATTATTAACATATATAACGGGTCTGCGAGAGTATTGCACAGCGAGCAGTCGTATAAGGTTGAAATGCTATATTTGACAAAGAGAAAAAGGAAGGACTGTACTAGAAGGGTGTAGTCAAGAGAAGGTTTTGTATAGGTCGTTTGGAGCGTACAGGCTAGGCAGTTATGCGGGTCTGGCCAACTAGAAGGCTCGCATCCTTATCGATAAGGCAGGCTCCCTATCGATAAGGCAGGATACGGCTTGGCATCAGCCAAGCTTAACCCCTGGGCTCTAGCCCCATGATAACATATAAAAATTAATTAACGGGTAGGAATATAAAACCCGATCGTTATTTTATAATATACAAATAGATATAGATAAAGTTTAGTATCAAATTCGAATATCGAACGAATTTATTAATAAATCGGTTGAATTATAATAATAAGGATAAGATCTAATTATTATTTATAAAAATAGGACAAAGCGTTAATAAATTCCTCTTTTGCGTTTTAATTTTAATTGTAGGGCTAAATAGAAACGAATAATTATATAATACAGAATTCTATGAATAAAATTGAATATACTTTAATTAAAAAAGTATTTATTTAATATTACAATTAAATACCAATAATTATTCGAATTCTATTACTAAATTATTTATCCTTTATTAAATAAATTCCTAATCCAACTCCAATCGTAGAAAGTCTTACGTATTCGTATCTACTACGTCTATTACCTTTTCTATAATACTCAATAATTTACTATATTTATTTTTTAATCGTCCGTTTAATAATCCGTTTTATATCTTTAAAATCTTATTTTAAGCTCTTAATATCCTCCGTAAATTTATTATCCCGCCGTTATTTTAAAACAATTTTGTCCTGAACAATTTACTTTACTATTATTTAAAATCCTTTTATCGAATCGGTAAATTAATTTGCAAATATTTATATTTGCACTAATATATTAATATAATTAAATACTACTTATATAACGAACTATAAATTAGTATAGTAAATATTACAATTGATTAATTTAAATTATAATATTAAATTATTAAGCAAGGTTAGGCTATTATTTATAAATTAACAGTTTCGAACTACTATAATCCTATTAGTAGGCGTCCTATAAACAAAATATGATTATATATCCAAATTAATATATACCGTTTAATTACGAATATAAATCCTTATATAACTCCGTCGGGCGAATAGAATTATAATAATTCTTTTCGTCCAATAGTAAATTATCCGCTCCCTATTACAATACTAATTGCCTTAAACCACTTTACTAGAAATCGACTAATGTCACGGGTCTACTGGGTGTGCACGGCAGTAGGGGTGGAACAGAGCTTGAGATTGTTAACAAAGGGGAAGAAAAGGTCCTACAAGCCCGGCTGGGCTAGAAGGACACCTATATATTAGAAGCCTGGCCAATCAGGAGGCAGGCAGGTAAGCGGGTCTGCAGGCCCTGCTAAGGTCCAAAGGCCTAGCCTCTAAATATCTAGAGCTAAGTATAACCTTTAGGCGCCAACCCATTACATTACCCCCTTACTTCCCTCCTCCGTATGTATAAAAATAATAATAAAAATTATTATATATAAAGAAATATTCCTAGAATTTAATAAGCAGCCTCCTATTTATACCCGCTATAGCCCTCCCTATTAAACGCTCCCTAAATAACTAAATACTTATATATGTAATGCTAGACGATTAAATAAATATATAAAATAACCGACCCTATAACCTATCCCTGAAATTAAGCCTCTAGGAACTATATCGACCGTAATACCTATTTAATGTTTATATGCGATTGAATTATATACTTAGCCCTATCTATTTATATAAGCCTTCGTCCTATTTCTATTAATAGGAGCGCTACTGGTAATTATATTATCTGGTCAATAGTCTGCAACCTCCTCTCTTAGGAATAATACCGAAGTTTTAATATATAATTAGTATAGTTTTTACTATTTATATTTATAGGATAATAACTAAACGACCTCTCCTCGTAGTAAAAGTTAATATTTAAATTTAAAAGGCGACCGTAAGGCTAAGTTTAAATTAGCCGGCCCACCTAGCGAATAGCGTACCCAATAAATATATATAGCCTATCTTTCCTTAAA